TATTTGTAGACAATTGATGACAATCATTAGATAATTAAAGTAATTATAATCAAATTTGGGGTTGTTGATATAATGGATTTAGATTAATTTAAACTAATATGAGCCATTTAAAGTAAATGCTAAAATATTTATAATGGAACAATATTTAGACTGGTGTGTAGGCGACATTATACCAATATCTTGAATATTATTTGAATTAGGATAGTCTAACGTGTAATGTTCGAAAGTAATTGTCATTATTGGTTCATATGATCCAGAATTACCAGTTTGGTTTATATAGTTTTAGTTGAATCTATATGTTGATGACAAAAAAAAAATTGAATTTGGATAAACAAAGTTTGCAATATCCAATCCAAAAGCTTTTGGTCTATGTATCCTCAGTTCTCTTTTTTTTTTCTTTGTGTTTGATACATTTTCATTTTGATGCTAGCATATTTAAATCTACTTATGGGTTTCTATACACAGCATGCTATGAAAATATATAATGAATTAGTTGATATATATATATATATATATATATATAAAGATGGAAATTTAACATCTTCTGAGATAACTTTCTTAAAGAATAATTATGTTTGTCTAGTTTTTCATTTAGTTTATATTATTTTTTCGTGATATTTTTCTTTAGTTCACACATACTAAAATAGTTGCATAATATCCCACATGCCTTTTTATTTAAATGATCAATACAACATTATTGTAAATTCAAAAACATTATTGTAAATTAAATGTGCCAACAAATAATATTTCTACGTTTAAGTGTAAAAACATTATATATAACAAATTAAAATATTTTGGCTAAAACTTTACTAAAAGTACTATGTAAAAGATATGTCAAAATTATTTATATGGTTATTTTTTTCTGTTTTCTAAAAAAAGTTAATATGGTTGGGAAGTGATCACATTATGATTAGTGTTTCCAACAAAAAAAAGTTTAATGATTGAAAAGCGATCACGAAAAGGGTGATATCCACTTCAATCTGGAATGAATTTTCATCATTAATATCACTGTGCAAAAAGCTTAAACAGATCCCAGCCTCTTTAACCACTCTATGTGTTTCTGCTTGACCATGTGGTTTGATTGTATTTTTTAATAGTTCTTGTTCCATTAATAGAAGATCTGGACAATTAGAGCATAGTCTATTTCTTAGTAAATTATTACATATTTTTAAAATCAAGGGAAATTTGTGAACCGCTTAAACTAAACATATGGTGGACTAATAGTCAACGAAATTAAATGTTGACTACCCTTAGAAAGTAAACTAGAAAACTCTTTGTAGTCCCACTAAAACTCTGTAAAATCATATACTTCAGAGAAATATATGGTCTCCAAATGACTAGTATATTGGAACACTATAAGATTAAGTGCAACATAGTCCAAATGGCTATAGTCCCAAATATATGAATTCTTTTCTGTCGACCAAATGACCAAAGTCTATTGGAACACTACACACAATATGTTATTCAACACTTGTTTAAGACCTGCAGAAGAAATGAGCATATGCATGAAACTTATATTTGATGAAAATTCCAATATAATCGTATAGAATTAATAAATTGTTTTTAGCTTTATTCTTGTAAATTCAATAAAAGCTAGATTTAATTTTGAGTCTTGATATACAACTATTAACTTAAAAACAAGTTGTCACTTGCCGATATGGTGTATCCCTTCATCTACAGAGTTGAAATCATTCAAATAAAGAAGTACAAATTATGTTGACTAAAAAAAGTACAAATTATAAAACACACAATATAATTTAATATGTAATATATAAGGATAATGCTTTTCCATCATTGACCACCTGAAAATGGCCATAGACGAAAAAGGTCTGGCCAGTTATGTGAATCAGTGAATGTAATGACCATGAAGGTGGACTCTTCTGGATTTGCTTTTACAATTTTAGTGTCTCTTCAGATTATTGTAATCGCGTCAGTCTTCGTTTATTCAGTTTTAATATTTTCGTTTTTTTGTTTGTTATAAAGTCAAGTCTCAGTTAAAAGAAAATAACATCACATATAATTTCAGGCTTACAAAATTGTGGACTTCGTCCAAAAATTTAATAAATATATACGTATCATTAAAAATAAGACTGAGAAGTACTTGACATGTGTTTAGTTAAGTTAAAAAAAAAATTCCTTGTTTTTTTTTTGCTTTAAAAAAATTCCTTGTTAACTTTAATGAAAGAATTCATGTTTTACTAAAGTTTTATTTAATATCAACTAATAGGGAGTGACCTTTTATTAAAGTTTATAGGTAAAATATTTACATTGATTGTAGAAAACAATACATTATGTATAACAAAACAAAATTAAAAACTACATTACTATGAAAGGGGTGTGTTGAAAAATAGTTCAAATTTTAATTATTTGGTGGTCCAGGATTGGTTAAATGTTCCCGGTTTTCCGAACTATAAAATTTAAAATCAAACGGAAATGAATTCATCAATATAATATTATTCAAATTTTCATAATTATTTCCATTCTCTACTTATAAGTTGGAGCCTGGAGTGATCCCACAATAATTCAATAGGGATATGTATTATTGTTGCCTATACAAGGATCAATTATCCAGCTCAATTATTTTCTTAGATATCGTCTGTTAAATCATTTCGCGAAACGACACTAATTGTGACCATAGTTGAAACTTATAATATTGAAACAAATCAAGAAAGTAGCAAAGAAAAAAAAAACAGATGAAATGAAATGTTAAGAAATCAACAAAAGAAAAACCTCATCATATCATGTTCCTCAAAGACAAATATTTTAAAATAAAATATATTTTTAACAATATATATTTGATATTTAATAATTTTTAGTAGTTAATAATGGTAAATTGTACCCTTTAAAAATAAATTGTACTATTTGAATACTATTGGTTTAAAATTATAGAAAATAACTAAACAGAGAAAACAAAAACAAAAACATTTAGAAAGAGTGGAAGTAATTTTTTTTTATAAAAATAAACTCTGGCCTCATGGTGTTAATCTTTGTCAAAAAGGCCTCATGGTGTTAAGTGTTAACAACATGCTATTTATTACTACTCCATTCGTTTTAAATTATATGGTGTATCAAAATATACAATGTTTTGGGTTTTTAAGGTTAATTTAAATTATATTAGAAACTATTCAATCAAGAAAAAATTAGATTTTTTTATAATTAATTAAATGATTTTAAAATTTATATTTTTAAAAGTATTTTTTTAAAAATATGTTTTAATATTTATGCATTAAACCAAAACATCATACAAAAAAAAATAGAGAGATTACTAATCTTTAGACACAGGTTGTTTTCAACGTTATATATTTAACACATGTGTAACTTTTTAGGTGTGGAGACTGAATTCCTCCACCGTATACTTAAAGATTAGAAAAACTATTTTTTATATCAATAACTTTTAATAAACTCAGATTTGAAAATATATAAATTTAATGGATTATAAATTTTTATTCACATCATCAATGTTCAAACTAAGAATGGTATTTTCTTTCAAATTATATTGTCTAAACATTCTTATTTTCTTGTGCTCAATTCACGTTTGTTCACATATGAAAAAGACCCACTCGGTTAAGGTGTAAACTCGGGCGTTCTAGAATTCAGTTTACACCTACTTGGCATTACCATTCAAAATATACAATATACTTTTAAGGCGTCAAAACATTATGATTGTCGACATAGAAACACCATTTTCATATACGAAGACGTCGTGACTCATGATGACAAAATTTGTTGGCACTATCTTTTATTCAGGTAATGATAGTGTATCAGATATAACTTACCAATTTAGCTACGAAGAGTGTAGATTTTAAGTGATCTTGGTTTTTTTTTTTTTTTTGACAACAAGTGATCTTGGTTTAAGATGGTTCGACAGGTTATTATATATCATAAACTTAAAATCATTATATATGGAAAATTAATGAAAAAATCAATTGTACTTATTCAAATTCTTAGGCCAAATGCTAGATTAATATCATAAACTTACAATCGCTATATATATATATTTTAGGTCCAACAAAGTACTCTGAATAGTGCCGTGCCACAGTGTAAAAAAATGAAACCTTCGCTTATAGCAACAAAATATTTTTAAAAATAGGGCATCATCTATTACTATGAGAACCATAATTTTATAAGAATTTGAATCATTCAGTGAAAGCACTATAATAATTAGGATTTTGAAAACATGGGCTTATAAATATATGGATTACCTAAGCTAGCATAGCATGTACACAATTGTTTTTGTTAACGAATAAGAGTAATTAGAGGTAGGATTATAGTTTTGAATGCCTTTTTGAAATATTGAAAAATAAAATTGATACAATTCTATTTTTTTCGATTATGGCATTAAAACATTTAATTTAATAATCTTAGCTTTTAAATTAGTTATAAAATTTAATACTTAATTAATATTTTGTAATAATAAAAGAATCTTGTTCTTTTTTGAAACACAATGAATCTTGTTATATAATTGATAATTTGTTTGTTAGTTTAATTCTATATAGTTTCTTCTCTATTATAAGATATATTATTATTTTTACTATAGAGATTTTTATGATTCGGCTTTTGGCCACAAAAAATGCTCGCAGGGCTCTGACTCTGAAAGTGAAATTCTGAAAGTGAAAATGGACGGAGAGCTTTAAGGAACGAGCCGTTATAAAGAGAGAGTTGTGATGGAATCTAGATTACCATGGATTTTCTGTTTTTTTTTTTCCTTACCGTTTAATTTTGGAAGAAAAGAAAAAAAAAAGTTTAACTAATTAATTAATTTTAGAATCAATATTTTAAACACTAACACATCTCTTTTTCACAACCAAAGTCACAAATGACCAATTTGTCTAGATTCCGACATCTCCACCAAGGACTGTCTCTACCATCCTCACTCTTCTTACCACTATAAATAGAGTCAGGTCCAAGATGAAGAACACAGTCATCATTAGCCTTTCAGACAACAGTAACATACAAAACAAAGAAAGTACAAATTTAACTACTTTAGTAGTTAGTACAAAATGGAGAGAAAGCCTCTCGAAGTCGAGTCAACGGATCACCAAAAGCTTTCCTCCGCCGTGTACGATGGCTCTGTTACGGCCGTTGATTCTATTGAAGAAGAAGTTCAGGAGACGAAAGTTGTATATAGAGGCTGGAAAGTCATGCCCTTCATCATTGGTATTACAATAATATTCTCATTCAAGCTTACAAAAAAGAAAATAATAATAATAATAATCATTCACCGTTTTAATATAAACTTTCTTCTTTAGGAAACTATTTATTTTGTCGTGTTGTTGTCCTAAGCACTGACTTCGTCTTGGTTATTTTTTTGTTCTTGTTGTTACCAGGAAATGAGACATTTGAGAAGCTTGGGATCATTGGAACACTATCAAACCTTCTTGTTTACTTAACTGCTGTCTTCAACATGAAGAGTATCACAGCTGCAACAATCATCAACGCCTTTAGTGGCACAATCAACTTCGGAACTTTCGTTGCTGCTTTCCTCTGTGACACTTACTTCGGTCGATACAAGACTCTTACCGTAGCAGTCATCGCCTGTTTTCTTGTAAAAGATCCATCCTCTGTATCTCTTTCTTCCTCCACAAGCAAATCTTGTTTTATAACCTAAAAATACCTGATTCTTGTTTTTGTAGGGATCACTTGTGATACTATTGACTGCGGCAGTGCCACAACTACATCCAGCTCCATGTGGAGCAGCTAGCTCATGTAGCGAGCCAAGTGGTGGTCAGATAGCGTTTCTACTAATGGGTCTAGGGTTTCTTGTAGTAGGAGCAGGTGGGATTAGACCATGCAATCTAGCTTTCGGGGCTGATCAGTTTAACCCGAAGAGCGGGTCAGGGAAACGAGGGATTGATAGTTTCTTCAACTGGTACTTCTTCACATTCACTTTCGCGCAGATCTTGTCTCTGACAGTAGTTGTCTATATTCAGTCTAATGTAAGTTGGACCATCGGTTTAACCATCCCGACCGTTCTTATGTTCTTGGCCTCGGTGATATTCTTTGCTGGAGATAAGTTGTATGTCAAGATCAAAGCCTCGGGTAGTCCATTGGCTAGTATAGCTCATGTTATGACGGCTGCAATGAAGAAACGTGGGTTAAAGTCAGTGAAACAGCCTTGGCTGAACCTTTACAATTACTACCCATCAAAATACGCAAACGCCAAGCTCAAATACACCGACCAGTTCAGGTAATAAAGATACACACACCCAGAGCCGGGCCTGACAATATTGGGGCCCCAATCCAAAAAAAAATTTTGTACCAAAACAAATAAAAGTTATATTTAAAATATACAAGCAAAACAAATTTATCTAAAAAGGAAAAATGAAAAGATAAAAATAAATTATTTAGTTTTAAGTAATATATATAATTTTAGAAGTTATATATTTTTCATATACAGTATGTAGAAAGTAATTATTATTTCAAAAATTAATAGGTAAAAAAAGAAAAAGAAAATAAATTGGGGACCCTTATATAGAGGGCTCCATTCAAATGTTTCACTCCAATGGGCTTAGGCATGGCCCTGCACACACCCATAGACGCCTTAAATGACAAGAAAACCCGGATTCTTATGAATTTTATGAGATTAGTCTTTAGACCTACAAAAATCTTTGGAATCCTTACTGTTATTAAAAAAAAAAAAGACAAAAGATACACAGCCAGTACCAAGATTTTCTAAAAAATATTTTACATAGACATAGTCTCTCAACTTTGCATATATTTTTTATTCTAACTCTTAATAAATAGTTTGTAGTCTCCAAAAACTTTTGTTTAATTTATTTTCACTAATTCATTTTTATTTTTGCCAGATTTCTCGACAAGGCGGCAATCTTGGCTCCAGAAGACGAGTTGGAGGCTGATGGTAAGCCTGCTAATCCATGGAAGCTATGTACAATGCAACAAGTTGAAGAAGTGAAGTGCATAGTGAGAGTGCTTCCTATATGGGTAGCTTCATCAATTTACTACTTAGCCATATCACAACAAATGACTTACCCTGTCTTCCAAGCCCTCCAGAGTGATCGTCGCTTAGGCTCCGGAGGTTTTGTGATCCCTGCTGCTACTTACGTTGTCTTCTTGATGACAGGCATGACAGTCTTCATCATAATCTACGACCGTGTCCTCGTGCCTACCTTAAGAAGAATAACAGGTATAGACACGGGGATAACACTCTTGCAAAGAATTGGAACCGGTATTTTCTTCGCCTTGTTAAGCTTAGTGGTCTCTGGTTTCGTCGAGGAACGTAGGAGAACTTTAGCACTGTCTAGACCGACACTTGGTTTAGCGCCGAGGAAGGGTGAAATCTCCTCAATGTCAGCTATGTGGCTGATTCCGCAGCTCGGACTTGCTGGTATAGCCGAGGCGTTTGGAGCTATTGGACAGATGGAGTTTTACTACAAGCAGTTCCCTGAGAACATGAGGAGTTTCGCTGGTTCGATCTATTACATAGGAGGAGGAGTTTCGAGTTACCTTGGTAGCTTCTTGATCGCTACGGTTCATAAGATGACACAGAACTCGTCCGGTGGTAATTGGTTAGCTGAGGATTTGAACAAAGCGAGATTGGATTACTTCTATTTCATGATCGCTGGAATCTTGGGAGTTAATTTTGCTTACTTCATGGTGATGTCAAGATGGTATAGGTACAAAAGTGATGATGAAGAGACAAATAATGAAACCAATGGAGATATCATCAAAGAACAAGATAAGAACAAAATATGATGATCATGTCTTGATTACACACTTTGGCATTTCTCGGAATAAGACAGTGAAACAACGTAATGATATACTTGCTCTAGCTTCTTTCTATTTTCTTTTCGGTTAATGTGTTACATCACATCTCTTTCTTTATATAAATGTAAAGAAAATGGAAATTATAACATCACATGTATTTGCAAAAATAAAAATTTGTTTATATTACTGTCTTCCTCACCATACAACATAACAAACTCAAAAAGTGAAATAAACCCACCCAAAAATACTACTTGGGAAATTGATAATTTGCATATGCATAATTTGTATGGAAGTTTCAGGCAGAGATATATTGAGATGGTTCATGGGTTCTCGCTATGCTTCTATTGTAAGATTGATGAATGGTTTCAATGTCAAGACCTTTTAGTCTCACGGCAAATATCAACATACAAGAGAATGACACATACAACATGTGTTCTGGTTTTGTGTTTCTTCACTAATCTATAAATGTAGTTGTCAAAGTTCGGTCTCAACATTTGAATAGTGCTTTTCGTTTTTGATCACATCTTCAATGTTACTTGGGCTGGAGAGTTGGTGATGTCGTCATGAAGCCTTCTGTTCCTTTCAGTCTAGACGTTGTAAACAGATTGTTGCTCGGGAGTCAAGGCGTTTGAGGAGCCTAGAGGTGTGTGAGTCCCAGTAGTGTAAAGAGTCTTCCATGGCAGAAGGTGCGGTGACAGTGGTGAGATGAATTTGTAACTCCTCTGCGTCTGGAGAGCGCGCTCCTCTTAGGCGCCAACCATCCTCAGAGACAACTCCATTGATCGGGACAGAGAGCTCAAGCGGACCTCTGTGATTTTCTTTGAAGATCAAAGCCTCAGGTAGTCCATTAGCCTGTATGTCTCATGACAAGTTCATAAACCCTGCTTTTAAATTTTATGTTAAATTATAGAATCAACTCTAGGCATTTTGTTATTGACTTAGAGTAGAAGCTAGAGAATAGGACTAAAACCCTAGTTGGTGGACCTTAACCCACTTATGGTTAATTTGTTTTTAAATCTTAAACTGGATTGAACTTTGTGGTTATAATAAAACTAGGTGTTTTCCTGCGCCATGCGCAAAGATAATTTTTTTTTAAAAATATTATTGTTTTATATAAATAAAATTTTCAATTTTTAATATTATATTTTTATTAGTTAAAAAATAAAACCATATGTAATGATTTTTACTTGTTTAATTATTCAAGTTTACTTAAACTTTTTAGTTTAATTTTATTAAAATTTTGATAAAGATAATTTACATTTAATAATGCTATTTTACTCATATTATACTTTCTTTAGTTACTTTTATTTTTAATATGTGTATTTGTATATATATAAATTTAATTCTAATAAATAAATACATTAAATATAAATAACATATATAATTTGATAAAATATTTATCATAAATAAATTTGTTTCGATAATATATATGATAGTAATAAAAATATGATTCATAAATTGACGTAAAATTTATATTTATAATTGTTATTTATATATATATATATATATATATATATATAAATATATTATTATTTAATATATATAAAAAAAGTTATTAGTCATTGTCATATTATAACACAAGTAATAGATATAAATATATTATTATTTATTGATAAATTATTTTATAAATTATAAATAAAAAGAAAACCCGTATGGTTGTGCGGGTCAAGATCTAGTTGTCATATTATAATACAAGTAATAGATATAAATATATTATTTTCTTTGATATAAAATTTATTAGTTATTACCTTATTATAAAATTTACCAGAAATATAAATCCGTATATAAAAATTAGTTATTATCATATTTAGGAAACATTACCAAAAACATAAATCTTAATATATAAAATTTTACATGTTTCTTTTGAGTCATGTCATCTTTATTTTATCGAAATTGAATAGGGGGGATTTGTCGTAAGCCCAACAACCCATGACAAATCAATAATCCCAGCTAAAATTTATGTTAAATGATAGCATCAACCCCTGACGACGCCGTTTTCTTCGAGCAGTAAGAAAAAGTAGTAAATTTCCAATGCTACAAAGATCTCCAAACCCTAACTGGTGAACCTTTAACTCTGTTTTGTCTTTCCTACTTATATATATATATCTGAAAAAGAGAGTCCCTGTGAATTAGACATTAGCTATGGTTAAGTATCTGTCTATTCAATGGAAGAAGAGGTCATCATCAAAGGCGATGATGAGAAGAGGCGATTTCGTGGCGCCAGAGATTCCTTTTGATCTCGTGATGGAAATCCTGAGTAGATTGCCTGCTAAATCGCTTATGAGGTTCAGGTGTGTCTCAAAGCTCTGGTCTGGTCTGATCCGTTCTCGATATCTTAGCAACCTTTATCTTACTAATAAGGTCTCATCATCTGGAGAACCACTTTTTCTATATATAAGTTATAATTTTGTGCCACACTGTAAGCTTGATTCAATGGACCCGTCTCAACTGCTATCATTAACAGTATCGCCGGCTAGTGATAGTGCTGAATTATCCTTGGAACCAGATTCGGATTTCCGGTTGATGGAAACGATGGGAGTACAGGGAATGGTGATTCTTCGCGGTTTGATTTTATACACTTTTTGCGGAAAAGCATATATCTATAATCCCACCACTAGACAAAGCTTAAACTTACCTGCCGTCAACACCAACATCTTTGCTCAACAAGAAGGTTTTCAGCGTTATAAGCGTGTCTGCTACTTTTTCGGACACGATCCTGTTCTTGATCAATACAAAATAGTGTGCAATGTTTTTGAGAGGTGGACAAGCTCCGAGTTTTGGGTCTTTGTACTAGAACCAGGAGGTTTTTGGAAAAGAATTGAGTATGATGATCAACCTCGCACTCTTTTTGGGCAAGGACTATGTATCAACGGAGTTATATATTGTTGGGCTTTCAATCAGATATGTTTCGATGCTGTTTACTGTTTTGACGTTAGGTCTGAAAAGTTGCGTGTGATCAAAACACCTCCCCATGCAGTGTCTGAGTATGGTCAGTTAGTGGGTTTCATAGAGCATGGTGGGAAACCCGCACTCTTTGATCATACACGTATTAAAGAAACGGGTGTGTCGGAGTTGTGGGTGTTGGAGGATGGTCTGGGGGGAACTTGGTCGAGGAAGTCTTTTGTTTTGAAGCCGTGTCAGAGGCATTTAGTACGTGACATCAATATGGGTTTGATGGTGCATGGTACGGGTCAAAACAATGAGGTTATTTTAGGGTTGGGGTTGTTCTCTCGTCCTTGTTACCTTCTTTATTACGATCTGATAAAGAATGATTTGAGAAAGGTTAATATCAACAGAGAAAAGCCTTACCAGTTTGTCAAGGCTATGGATAAGTATGAAAGCATCATGCACTTGGAAACTTGATTATCATTATCGAATTGTGTTTTACTCTATAATAATGCAATTTGTAATATTTATTTTGTAATTTACTTGCAAACAAACAATTGTTCTTCTTGTTTAATATCATCAGTCCAGATAGGACTAGTTTTGTTGATATGGGTGAATTTTTGTAGTTTGAATGATGATGATCCATGAGTCATATATAAATACATCCAAGCAAAGAATTTGAGAATGTTTCATCATAGAATCCAAAAACCAATAGTTTTCAAAACGTTAACCTCTCTAGAATGGTTGCACCACCACTACAACCTTGACAGCAATCAACATTTAATTTTAATGCAGGCGATTGACTAATCGTGAACATGATGGTGTTCTGTCTTTTGGAATGTTGCGTTTTCCACCTCCACTCAATGTGCATCTACCTAGTTCTCAAGACGGTAAGGCAATGATCAGGGCATATGTAATATACCAAGCAAACCATCTAATGTAAAATCCGCTGCTCCTACTGTTGTCTGGAGACCACTAGCTCAACACACACCTGAGCTTACGTGAGTTGTAGAAACAAATTCATATTTTGGTTTGTCTTATGTGAATTCCCTGAATCAAATGGTCCATTTGTTATTATTGTCCTGCAGGGCCCTGCCTAGGTTGGTTCGGCTCTTGTGCCACATCGTTGCTTCCAAGCGTTTGTCACATCATGCATGCAAGGGTAGCCCTTATGCAACTGCTTTTGGGAGTTACGCAACTGCCGAATACCTCAACTAGACTTGTGTCGACAGCATCATCATGATTGAACCAAAGGTACAAGTAGAGTAACAAACACGTGATCATCAACTCTCTCGAGCCATAATGCACTTAAAGAAGGGTATCTATACATGTTTTGTTCAACCCCTTGAACCATAATGTAATGTGTTAAGTTGCTAATCTTTGTGATTTGAGTTACAGATTCACATTCAGGTGGTTGTAAACTAGTTTTTCTCCATTATAAGAGATTGCTTAACAACAGTCTTTGTTCTTGATTTCAACCAATTTACATTGTGGGTTTGAACATAGGAAAGCCTGTATCATATCATGCGTAAGGAAGAGAGATGGACATTGAGAAAAGAAATACAGAAAACAAGGTTATCCCTAAAGGTGTCTGAGCTCAGAGACACGTTAGTGAAAGACATTCTGATGTCCTGTGAATGAGTTGTTTAGTAATTTGGGAGCAGTCAACAACATCTAATAGATCTTGAAATCTCTCCTTGGAGGTTGTTTCTGATAGAAGGAAACCTATTTATTGATCTTTCAACGAATTAAGGTATAAAGATTAGATCAACTTTCTTTATACGTCCAAGGGAGAGAAAAAAAAAAACTAAAAACGAAGCTTGACATGTCGAGAGGACAACAACCATGATCATGATCAGGATGAGATATCAGAGCATGGGACCTGTGTAGAACGGACTTTCAAATTTAGCAATAATACCTTGAGCCACAAGAAAACGTAGTTCATTGCTTCTCTCGTGATCTAAATTTAGAAATAGTTGGAGACATCAACTCATTTGAGACCTAAACTCAAATTTATTTTATGAAAATGTCAATATTTTTTTTTAAAACATTTGTCAACAACATCAAGGTGATAAAACTATAACTTAAGAAACAAAAAGAGATACTCTTAAGAAACTATAACTTGAAACTATAACTAGACTCAAATACTTCAACAGCTTCTTAGTTTAATTCATGCCAACAATCATAGTGTTACCTACCTCTTAAGGAAAAGCTCAAATCCTTCAACTAAAAAGGCACGGAGTGCTGCAAGCTGAAACTCAACCAGATCCGTAGACGACTTATTGGGTAAATAATGGTAGGTTTCAGCATTGGCCCATCTCCCTTCACAAGCGTTTGTTGCTGTGGTCATTAGAAGTTTATCAACTCCTTCTCTCCAACCAAAAGGAAAAGAAGCATGTTTGATTTAAGTAGTACAGAATCATACAACATAAACTATTTAAGTCCTATTCAGTTAACTAAACCACAGAGTCTAACTTCAATAGTAAACTATCAAGAGTGAGATGCATGCTTCCTTTGCATGTATACAAAAAGGATTACCTGCGTATGCACTTGATTAATTGTAGCGCGCATGCAAGAGTTCCAGAGCCGAAGAATGCAAAGACGGAAGTAGTGCACAAACCAAATCTTGTTGGATCCGGCCCTGTCATGAAAGGCGACATGCAAAATTAAGCTGAAAGGTTGAATGAAAAAAATATCAGCAAATTCCATGTTTGGATTACATATATAGCAGCACACATCATCAAGAGAGAAGTAAGCTCACTTCCTAGCTCACATTACCTTGAAATTTGTAGGAGCTAGTTAGCATCGAACATAAGTGCAGAAACTCTGGATACAATCAACTGTTCGGAGTTCCACATTGTATCATCCAAAGCCCCATCTTGACCTCCCAACGGCAAACATGTTTCTGCATGCGATACATGTCACAGTGTTCGTTCTATCAGGGAAACTATAGCCTAGTCGCATACAAACTAGTGGAACAAGGAAAGCAATAAATTACCATCTATTCTAAACCTTGGAAAAATTTTATTTAAATGTACGTTTATAGATATTAACAACAGCTTCTGTATCATCAACGACCAACTCTGCCTGCATCGCCTTTATTAGCTTTATCAATAAAACAAGTGCTAATATTATACTACCACCTAGGCATAATATGAGCGTGTATGAATTGTTGTCATGTAGCTATCAAAATGTTAGTGATATCAATAAAAATTCAGGAAATTAGATAGAAAATACATTTGAGAAGCGAAGAGAGTTGACCTTGTCGTAACTATTGTGGAAGGCAGCAGGAAATAAGATAACAATTCTACTCAGAAGATGCACAATGCTTTCCTGCACATCTCTATACCAGTCAAAAGACTCGTAACTGAGGATTCTAGCAATGACATGAACAAAACTAATGTTTGCTAAAAGAGCAACTTCAAGGCTTTCTTACCCATAAGGCCTTCTTAAGGGTCTCTTAATTGATTTATAATAGTATTGGAGGAGTAAATTTGGTTAAGCGACTTTGCTAAGAACTTTCAATTTTTAGGTCCTCCATTGCAAGTCTCCTATTTTTAGACTTGTTTAAAAAAAAAAATTGATTAAGAGAGCTTCCATCACACTTTCATTACATTTGTCTTGTGAAAACCATCGTTTCCTAAAACTGAGTTCAAAACAACATTTCAAACAAGTTTCTAAAGATGGACACAAAACCAAATCAAAAGAAGTTGTTAAACCAAACCAAAAAATAAAAACGGACTGTAAAAGTAAAGCAAACCTCGGTAAGCTCAAGCATTGTGAATTCCCCTGGGTTGCCAAGATTGAAAGGTCCTACGTGATCGTTTTCCACAAGTCCCTCCACCTAGATCGAACTCTTCGTCCAGTTCCCCTATAACACCTCTGATCAAAAACATGACATAAAACAATTGTAACGTTAGAAAATTAATCAATCAGTCGATGCTTTGGTCAACATGAAAAAGTGAGGATGAGATTTTACATGTTGTCGCCTCTGATAATGTACAAACCCAACTCAAGTTGTTGTACTCCTTCCTGATATGTCAAGAAGACACGTAAAACAACAACACATTAAGAGAGTAAAACCATAGTAAAATGTCTCTCAATGCTCAAAATCATTAACTTATAAGTAACTTTGTTCATGTTTGAGCCCACCAGACACTAACGGAAGTGACTAATAAGACAATTAAAGACACAACTCTTTTGAAACCATCCACCCTTTTATGTTTATTAGAAAAGCAATGTACATTATTACAAAAGACGTACGACCAACTAATGACCTGATATAAGACGAAGACAGGTGCTCAGACAATTACCAAAGTTAAAACTAGAATCCAAGCGAGCTCTTGCCCCTCTTATCTTTCTAGTCTTATCAGTTCACTACACAGAATTTGGAGTCACAGAAACGTGACCAAATGACTCCATGGCTAGACCACTCGAGAAGACTAGCCATCAGATCATATACCTGCTAATAACAGTGTTTGCACCCATTTGATTGTGTGATAAGGCAAAGTTGAGATGAAATACTCGAAACAAAAGCTTACTTTAGTGGAAAAGACGCGTTCATGAGATTCATCAACAGAATTATACTAGTAGTCTGGTCAAAACCTTTGAGAACTCCCTGATAAAAAAAAACCAACTTCTGTTTGCTAAGTTATTTGCTCTTGAAATCAATATAACAAAAGAAAAAAAGAAGTTGAGAATAATTAATAAAATTACCACAATGTTGCGTCCATCGTTTGTAATAACCGAAATCATCTCTGCAACACAACCCAAAAGATGAGATTTTTCAGACAAACCCATGGGACAGAACATCATGAGTGGTATGATTAGTGAGAAGAAACTAAAAGACAACTTACGGTCCACTCTGTGATCACGAGTCCTTCCATCTTCATCTCCTTCATTTTCTCGGAGAAGCATCCTTCACTTACGGTCCACTCTGTGATTCTACCACCACAAAAGAAACATAGAATAGGAAAAAGAAAACAGACAGAGAGAAATGAAATCTACTAATATCTCTTGAAAAGACGAACACCATATCTAAAACAGGCTAACAACAAACAAACACAGATACAAACTGACCACTGGGAAGGATTAGAACATACACAGAAACAACAAATGTGTTACCATATGATTCTATTGAGCTAACTCCATCCCCTGCGTCGTTGTTTTGAAATTAAACAGAGTATGAATCTAACAAGATACACAAAGGAAGGAGACGCGGTCCTCGACGAGAGAGACAGAGATGAACTCCGCCAAGGGCAACACGTGTCTTGTGTCGACAGCATCATCATGATTGAACCAGAGGTACAAGTAGAGTAACAAACACGTGAAGGGTAATCTATAAAGTTTAGTTGCTAATCTTCGTGATTTGAGTTACAGATTCTTTGTAAACTATTTTTTATCCATTATTATAAGAGATCGCTTAACAGTCTATGTTCTTGATTTCAACTAATTTATATTTTGGGATTAAAGCACTAATGGGCCAGATGAACAGTACAACGAAATTTGAATGGGCCACATAAACCCAGTAACCAATCATGGGCCTAGACCGGCGCATGAACTTTTCCTTTAGAAACAGTTTGTTGTTTTTTTTTTTAACCACTTGGAATATTTGAATTAAACTGTAAAAAGGTCTTTAGAAACAGTTTGTTATTTTAAAAGAAGGTAGAAAGATAAACCATGAAACAGTCTTTTTAAACATGAAAAACATCAAACGAGACGACATGAAAGACACAAACACTAGCCAAAATAGTACCGCATACAAGGAAATTATTTTAAAGAAAATGGAAAAGGACACAACCAAGGGTAGGAAACAACGTAGGCACCAGGAACATTCTAGAGCTCTTCTTCATACACGGGATAGGAGGTATCGATCTGTTTGATGTCATCGTAACAAATGACTTTCCCCCCAATAGGTATTGCCACAATACAACCATCGGGTGCTTCAACGGGCTTGAGATTCCTACAGTACACCGCTCCACCAGAACCAACCTTCACAGTTCCACCGTTTTGAAAAGTACCTCCAATGACATCGGCTTCATAATCCCAATCATCGTCCAGAGAAGACTTGGACCAGAGAGCACCAACAATATGAGCAACACGGCATCTAGTTAGAACAACCGCATCTGGGAAGTTTAAAACACAACCAATCACACCATCTTCCATATGCTCTGCAAATACATACAACAGATACATACAATCAGACAATAACATAGGAATATTTATAAGAAATTGGATGTGATTTCGAAATCTACCTTCACCTCCCGGACGTAAAGTCAGTGGGATTTGGTACCGTGCAAGTGCAACACTAGAACCGAGATCAACCTCATCCCCAGGGTACCTGTGGAAACAACCGAGAGAGGGCAGTGGCACGACAGAAACCGACACGACAGGCAACCATGCTAATGGATCTGGTACTGAATCTTGAGAAGGAGCAACCGCCGCTACAAGAGAGCCAGAAGGATCAACAGGTACAGGAGACTGCGGAGCTGTTACCGTAGGGGGCGAAAGGTTAGCAACTGGGGAGGGTGGTGAAGCTGATCCGTGGTGTGGTGCGGCAGAACCAACGGCGGGGAGAGGAGAGAGAGTCTGAGACTCCAGATCTGAGTGAGATTGTTGATTTTCGTTCATTGCTGAATAAAATGATTATTAAGAGCAAAGAAATGATACTGTGGATGTAGGTATTTATAGAAACAGCTAATCTGCCCTGCTATCAAACAATTAGCAAATCTAAGCCGTTAATCAAACAAACTTGGTGACAAAGGAAATAACGTGGGCAAGAGGTAAAAATATCTAGCGCATTGTAGCATTACTCAAGTGCATTGTATCAAAAATTGGGCGCGAAGATGTAATGATTTTACCGCCAGAGGAGCGAAAATCCCTAAACAAAACTTTTTGGCGAGTAATGAAAGATGGAGTGAAAGCCCATCTTATTTTATAAGGCCCAACAGATCATCATATCAAAGATAAGATCAATACAAAATACCTCCTCCCCGTATATACCCATGACTAATGTCATGGAAAATCATTAAACGATTTACTGATATCTTCATGGGAGACCAAAAAAGTAGATAAAACTTGATTTTAAAACAGATCTATCATACCTTCACCGGAGGGAACCAATAAGATAGCTAAAACTTGAATTTAAGTTTAGAACTCGCCTCCTAGATCCGCCTTCATGGATCCGCCTCCATGGATCCGCCTCCATGGATCTATGTGGTTTATCTCGGAACAACGGTTCTATTGAGATAAATCATCACGGTTGATATCATCATCGGAGGCGATGAAAATTAAGCGATATATGCAGGAGACAAAGAAAAAAAGAATGAGTTAAGATGCGAATATGCCAAATGATTATCATTAACGCAGTCAGAGAGATGCGAACTTATGAGTTTAACTAGTTCTGTCGGAACAAGTAAACCTATTTATAGACAAACCCTATCTCTAACTCTAGGTCATATGGGTTTTAATATGGGCTTTATTTGGGCTTAAATAATGTCTTCACCAGTTCATGATTTTCCTTGTATACGGCCCAGCTATTAGAACCAAGTTCTTATCTTTTAATTCGACCCCACCGGTTCGGCCCATTATTTTGTACCGGGCAAAACTGATAACCAAGTAATTACATTTTTCTATTCGACATCACTTGCTTTCTATAGTTTCAACCCTTCTTGTTTCATAATTAAAAAAGGCTCTAATATAGAAATTATATTGCAAATGGTATCGGAGCACTATGAGGAATAACTAAACTTATACTATAAAGTAACTAACTAGAACAATGAAGATGTGATAAGCACTGTTCAAATCAGGTATCCCTTATATATTAAAAGAGAAGCATTTTGCATTAAATGTTTTCACACCACCTTCTCACAATTTATTACCTTATTTACTAGCTTCTCACAATTTATTACCTTATTTACTACATTCTCACAATTTATCATCTTATTTACTTCCATAATTGTTTACCTTATTTACTTCAATTATAAAACACACGAGATACTTTAAAACTACAAAGTTCAATATCGCGTGAGACAAGTTCGGAGGCAAGTGAATTGGCTTGAGGGTCGATGTCAAAGTTCTGGAACGTCGTTATTTGGGAGGTGGGACGTATCTAAGATGATGGATGTGAAGGGCAACATACCGGAGCCCATGAACGCGATCTTGGTTTGGACATCGCTCGTGTGTAGCGTGAAGAGATTGAACTCAACCTTGCTAAGTTTGAGGTAGTTAGTGTACTGAGGATAGATCTAAATGGTGAAGTGTGTTGTCTTTGAGAGATCCCAAGGCCGTATTGGTGCTCTGAAAACTCTATATCTTCACTACGTAAGTTGGTGAGATTGGTTCTGTAGTTTTTGACTTTTGGGCACAAGTTTTTAACGTCGATATTTGTATCCATGGGCAAGGACGTGGACATGAGCTATTGAACAAATTTTCGACATATATATGTGAAAGGTTTAAGGCTCTTGAGATTGGAGATTTCGTTATACAAGTCGAGAATTTGCTTCTCGAAATGAGCCTTTTGGCTACCCATCTCGAGACTAGAATGAGATTTTGGATTGTCTCAATACTCTTAATGGTGTTCACAGTAATATACTTTCATCTTACGAGTGTCCATATCGTGTGGATGACAAAAAAAAGCAGATATATGTTCCAAAAGTTATACGTATGAAAAAACGTTTAGTGAGGGTAGATCTAAATGGTGAAGTGTGTTGTCTTCGAGAGATCCCAAGGCCGTATAGTAGTGGTGCTCTGAATATTCTATATCTTCACTACGTAGGTTGGTGAGATTGGTTCTGATGTTTTGGACTTTTGGGCACAAGTTTTCAACGTCGATATTTGTATCCATAGGCAAGGACGTGGACATGAGCTATTGAACAAATTGTCGACATATATATGTGAAAGGTTTAAGGCTCTTGAGATTGGAGATTTCGTTATACAAGTCGGGAATTTGCTTCTCGAAATGAGCCTTTTCGCAACCCATCTCGAGACTAAAAGGAGATTTGGGATTGTCTCAATACTCTTAATGGTGTTCAGAGTAATATATTTTCATCTTACGTGTGTCCATGTCGTGTGGATGACAAAAAAAAACAGATATATGAGACAAAATTTATACGTATTAAAAAACGTTTATCAACCGGAATAATGTTTTCTTCATGATCTTTAATTGGAGTATTAATTTTTCGTCTTTTCCATTTAATAGCTCATAATTTTCTAACAGATTTTGAGGCATTACCTATTTAATATATAGGGGATAACGCAACACCAAAAAACTGCGTTTCTATCAACTTTTCAGAGAGTTGCATAAACGCTACATTTTTAAAACACACAAAATACTTTAGTTAGAAAGAATTCACAAGACAACTTATCAAGTTACTTTCTTATGTAGACTGTAGTGTCCATATATACCGTCATGCTATTTATTTCCAAGTTTGACATATCTGAGAATTAATGGTACTAAAATCTGAAACAATTTTTTCTTATATAGATCTATGTGGAGCATTGGTCCATGTAGGAGATCTTATAGTTAATAAGAAATATCAACCTGCCAACGGTTACAGTACTATTCTATATTCGTTGGAGTTCTCCTTAATCGATCTCGGGTTTGAACTTTTCATATATTTACAATTGTTTATTCTTAGTACGACCATGTTTGTACAATTTATATTGACTGATATATAATACAAATGTAATAGGTACACTCAAGTGAGGTGTGTTGCTCATGGTGCTCTAACCCGTATTTTAAATGATTTCTGGCATTCTAATACTGCAGATGTTGTAGTATGTGTTTTGAGGTTATGGCGAATTGAATGGGAAGCAGGTAATCTATATTTATTTTGACTCTTTGCTATTCAGAAATGTCTGGTTTCTATACTTATTGCTGATAATACTTTATAGGTGGTCTCACTTATGTTACAAACATGAAAGGTGTTTCTGAAATTATGTTTGATACTGACATCCTAGAGATTCAGTTCTTCAAATGGCAGTAAACACATTATACTTAGTTGGTTTTATAAAGCTGTGTAGTATATACACTAAAAACTTTGTTCTTCCTCATATATTGAAATTCATGTCTTTGCAGGATTTCAGTCATGGATTTCTGAAGTTTTGATTGAAGTTGTTATTCTATCTAATTATGTTATTCTATCATATGTTATTCTATCTAATTATTGATTGAAGTTGTTTTTATATAATACATATTTATATTTAGACCATTATTTATTTTTGGAAGAATGAGATTATGCATCTTTAACATAATGAAATTGAGTTTATTTGATTTATATTAGATTTCTCATATTTCTTAACATATAGACTTACCATAGTTAGGGCCTCTCCAATAACAAATTCGTAATTAATTTTAGTCTTTGTGTTATCACCATAAAATCAAAAAATTTAACCAAAAAGACAATATTTATAATATAGATATATAATTGGACGATATTAAAACCCGAAACAACCAATCCAAAACAAACTAATATGCAAATTAAACAGATATAATGTCTTCTTATCTTAAAAAATACAACAAATTTAATCATCTCATCCCGCGCAAGGCGCGGGTCTAATCCTAGTCTATACTATTATTTGCGAAGTGAATTTTCAGAACGGAGCTCTCACATTAAAAGTTGGAGTGGTTAATATCTATTTTACCCTTAATGAAATTTTTATATATAACTAATATATAATTAAAAACGAAATTTAAAAAAAATAAAATTAGATTAGTATGTTATTATCTTAGATAACTGAGAACAATTAATATAATAAATTGATAAAAAAATCAAAAATAAATTTATATATGTTATTATTATCTGAATATAATATTGTAACAACATGATAATGCTTATATATCTTAATTTTATATAGAATTGATTTTGGCTTTTGAAATTAATATCATCTATTTTAAAATTAAAACTAGATTTTGACCCGCTCAACCGAGCGGGTGTTTAATTTCGTTTATAAATATATATATATATATATATATATATATATATATATTTATTTACATCATTATTGGTATATATTATTATTCATATGTTTAATGTTTATAAAAGATTCTAAAATATTTTGTTAGAATTCTTTTTAAAATATATATTTTATTTCAAATAAAAGAAAAGATATCAAAAGATATTGTAACTAAGTCAAATAAAATGTTATTAAGATATATATGAAATATTACTTTCTATGAATGGTCCATTTTTAAAAATATCACACATGAAGAAAAGTTGTGACTTCTCTTTTAATATAATAGATATAAAAATCAATTTTAATTAAATATTAATCAAAGAAAAATATTTGTATAATCTATACTATTATTTGCGAAGTTATTTTTCGTAACGGAACTCTCACATTAAAAGTTGGAGTGGTTAATATCGTTTATACCTTTAATGAATAAAATATATAAATCAGCTAAAAATAAAATTGAATTTAATATTTATTTGATTAGCTAAATAATTTAAATTAATAATAATGATAAGAATTATTCATAATCAAATTATATATTTAAAAATAAAAAAGATAATTCCTTTGTATGTTGTGTTGTTATCCAGAAAATACATTTTAATAAAAAATTCAAAAACAGAAAACACATAAATAAATATTACAAAGTGATTTTTCGCAACGGAGCTCTCACATTAAAAGTTGGAGTGGTTAATATTGTTTATACTCTTAATGGATAAAATATATAAATCAGCTAAAAATAAAAACAAATTTAATAGTTATTTGATTAGATAAATAATTTAAATTAATAAATATGATAATAATTATTCATAATCTAAATATATATTTTTTTAAAAAAAGATAATTCCTATGTATGTTGTTATCCGGAAAATATAATTTAATAAGAAAATTCAAGAACAGAAAACACATAAATAAATATTGCGAAGTGATTTTTCGCAATGGAACTCTCGAGTTAAAAGTTGAAGTGGTTAATATCGTTTATATCCTTAATGAATAAAATATATAAATCAGTCAAAAATAAAAACGAATTAAATATTTATTTGATTAGATAAATAATTTAAATTAATAATAATGATAAGAATTATCCATAATTTAAATTTTAATAATAAAAAGATAATTCTAATGTATGTTGTGTTATTATCTGGAGAACATTTTTTAGTAAAAAATTCAAAAACAGAAAACACATAAATAAATATTCATAAAGTAAAATTTTTAATTGTATATAATAGAAAATAGTAAATTGAAAAAATTATAATACATATTATTTTTAAATTAAAAGAATATAACAATAAAATATAGTATAGATAATAGTATAGATTTTGATGATTTTTTAGATTGACTTAAAAATAGTTAAGCCCGCATGTGCGGGCAAAACACCTAGTGGACACATTAATTTGGAACCCAACCAACAATTAGAATTGGATTCTGGTTTTCGATACTATGAATTGCTTGAATAGATCATATATTTGTATAATCTGAAAAATATAACTAAACCAGACCGAGAACAGGTGCCCAAATTTATAATCGTAAAAATGAAAAAAAAAACAAAGTTTTTGATCTTCCCAGACGAGAGAATATTTGGTGTTCCTACGAAGTTAGACCTGATCGGCAAATGAACTAATGTATTTGAATTTTGAAGTAAGCACCTCTTCATTTTTTTTGTTTCACATGACATGTTTTTTTTAGTACAGTGACATGTATTGTCTCCGGTAACTTGTCTTGGGATGATAATAATAGTATCATGTCAACACCTCTTGAAATTTTGGTTTAACATTAAGAAACGTTTTCTTTTAATAAAGTTATCGAGGGAAAATCAAACACACAGATGCAGATATTAAAAGAAGAAAAGAGCGGGAACATTTTGACACCAGTACTGACTATGGGTCACAGACAGATATATAACAATAACAGATTTATTGTAAAAACATTCTGAGTAGAAAAAAATTATGAAAATAGCTTAATTGTTCATGTTGGTGTATCCTAAAAATATTTACATCCCATGTTAGATCAGCCTCTGCTCCTCTCTCCCTACCAGGTTTTGCTTTTAGCTGTTGATCCAAAAACATATGTGTTTTGTTATTATTTATATGTATAGTAATAACCTTGTGTTTGTTTGAAGGTCGTGCTGCACTAGATAAAGTGTTTACTCCGGTTATGAGGCCAACTTCAGAGAAAAACCAAGTACTCTTCCTTCCTGAAGATCTTGTTACAAATACTATAAACAATCTGAACTTTTATGCTGTTTTTACTTTTGGATTGTTACACTCTCGGGGTTGCAGTATCGCTTTTATTCTGGACCAATGTATTTGGCAGTGCATTTACTTATTGAAATTTCTCTATGTTTTTAGTCACTTGACCTTAATTTGTCAATGTACTTAATTAGTGGTATATAATGGATGATTTAGTTTATGTTACAAATTGTTAATTCTAGACCAGAGTTTCTGGTGCAAGTATTTGTCCGACAATAGGAGTTTTCCAGACAGGAGATATAAGTAGTCCCTTGTACTGGTTCCGTCTTAGGCATGGGTTGTTTTATTTGGTTAGCATTGTGTTGTCCTTATTAGAATCTCTTAAACATAAAACGCCAAGTTTATCTAGTCCATAATTTTTGGTTGCTATTAGACTAGCAACGATGATACTGACTTGAGATGCATGATGATAAACTTTGGGGTGGCTTATTGAACTGTGATCCACTCTCAGAGGCATCTGTAAATGGTATACAATTTGTCTTCTATAGTACATATGTGCCTTTAACAAAATAAAAGACTACTGAATCAACCATTTCTAGAAAAAAGAATAATGGGCTTTTATGACAAAGGCCCATTATAAATCAGACACACAATAAGATTAATTAAACTCAAAAAAATTCACACACACACAACTCTATAAACTAAAACTTTCCTTCCTCACTTGTCGGATCTTCTGTCTGAATCTGAGTCAACCCGTTTTCGAAAATCGTTGGAGATGGATCCTCCACTAGTGAACGATTCATCCTTCTCCCCAGCGAATCCTTCCTCTTACACTCTCTCCGAGATTTGGCCCTTCCCTGTAAACGACGCCGTTCGCTCCGGTCTCCGTTTAGCTGTTAATTCCACTCCCTCTGACAAAGACGTCTCTACAGCTGCTGCTGCCGAGGAATCTACGGTCACGGACTTAACTGCAGGATGGGGAGGAAGAAAGGGTCGAGCTTTGAACTCAGAGGAGGATGAATCTTCAAAGATGGTTTCTTTAAGCAGCAGCGGTAATGAAGTGGTGAGATTTGTTTTGGTTTTATAGTTGATGACGTGGACTATGGTTGTTAGTGTTGATCTGATTGAATCTGTAACTGAAAGTTTGAATCTTTGGATCCACAAAAAGCTAAAACTAGTCAAAGCATAGTCTTAGAGTTATCAATGATTAGTTTAGAGGTTAGGTGTGTTAGTTGACTTTTTGACTGGATTGAATTGAGCTTGAGACTCTCAGTTTCATAGATTAAGTATTCATATTTGAATCTATAACTAAAGTTTGAATCTTGATCCTTAGCTTGGTAAAAACTAAACTAGTCAAAGCAGAGTCTTGTTTAGCCATTAGGGATCAATGATTAGTTCACATGTTAGATGTCTTTCTTGTCCATTGACTTTTTGACTGAGTTGGATTTGAGCTTGAGACTCTCATTTTCATTTGATGAAGTGTGTTGACTTAAGCCTTCTGTCTGTTTTGTTATTGTAATAGAAAGATTCAGGGGATAAGAAAAGGAAGTTCTGTGGATCTGAGAGTGGGAATGGGGATGGTTCAATAAGACCTGAAGGAGAAACAAGTTCAGGTGGAGGAAGCAAAGCAACTGAACAGAAGAACAAACCTGAGCCACCAAAAGATTATATCCATGTCAGAGCAAGAAGAGGACAAGCTACTGATCGGCATAGTCTAGCTGAGCGAGTAAGTTCTTCTGCTTAAATCATATTGTATACACAGAAACTGTTTTTTTTTTAGCATTCAGATTGGTCTGTTGACAGGCTAGGAGAGAAAAGATTAGTGAGAAGATGACAGCTCTTCAAGATATAATTCCAGGATGTAATAAGGTACATCATGACAAGTTCTTGTTGTTATTCCTCTAGCCTTCAACACTCAACAAGATTATTTACTTTTGATTTCAGATAATAGGAAAAGCACTTGTGCTTGATGAAATTATCAACTATATTCAGTCACTGCAGCGACAAGTTGAGGTAAAAAAAAAACATTACTCCCTCTCTTTTATATGTTGCATTTTTGACATATCTAAAATAGAATCTGGTGTACACAGTTTCTGTCAATGAAGCTAGAAGTGGTTAACTCTGGTCCAAGTACTGGTCCAACAATAGGAGTTTTTCCAACAGGAGATGTAAGTAGTCCCCTTGTCTGAAAAACATATGATCTTTCTTAATTAAACTACTTAACCTTGTCTTTTACAGCTTGGGACTTTACCTATTGATCTCCATCGAAATATATATGAGCAACAAGAAGCTAACGAGTCTAGAGGATCTCATCCAGAGTGGCTCCATATGCAAGTTGATGGAAGCTTTAACCGAACCACATAAAAAAAAAAACACATCTCTTCTTTGTAGGCAGTTTCACTTATGTGTGTTGTGTTAAAATCACCTTTGTATTGTTATATCAGAAGAAGAAGGTGATAAGAGAGAGATGAACACTTTATAAAAAAAAAGACAACATTGTTGTATTGTCTGTTATAACTTGTAACAAAAAGTGATGATTCAGTGAACACAGAGAGATCATATGTACAATCTTTTATTATTATGTTGTTATCTAACTTATCATGAATCAATGATACGTTTTTTAATTGCAATTTATTTAAAAAGTCAAAGTAATTAGATCCAACGGCTGAGATTGTATCTTCTTCTTCATCTTTTTCCAGATCAAAAAATCAGAAAACTTTCGATCTCTTCTTCTCTCTTTCTCTTCTTCCAACTCAAGTTGAGAGGCGCCAAAAAGAAACCCTTTTGACAAAAGAGGGAAACTTTCTCAATTGGGGCGAAATCAATTTGACGAATTGAAAGAATCTTTCTGATTTTGAGCAAAAAAGACAGTTTGGGATTTGAGGGATGGAGCATGAGAACATGGTCAAAGAAGCCCTAAACGCACTGTATCATCATCCAGATGATACAGTGCGTGTTCAAGCTGATCGTTGGCTTCAGAACTTCCAAGGAACTCTCGATGCTTGGCAGGCGAGTTTTTGTATTTTTACTTCGGTTTCAATCTGGTTTTGGTTCTGGGTTTGATTGATTCTTCGTGCCTTGCTTTGCTAGAGTCTTAGTTAGTTGATTCTTAGCTCAAAGTTTCATCCTTTATCAGTTTCGTATTATAGATTTTGCTTGTTAGCAGGAAGCTCGAATTTTAGTATTAGTGATGTTTGAATACGATGAATATAGTTTTAGCTCAGTTGTTTCGCGTTAGTTTAGTTTCACATTATTGTGTAGGGTGTATGAACAGATCTATCTTTGGTTCTGGGTTGGATTGATTGTTTTGCTAGTCTTAATTAGTGGATTCTTAGCTGATTTAGACTACAAAGATTCATCCTTTATCAGTTTTCGTATTCTTGATTTGCTTGTAAGCAGGAAGCTCGAATTTTACTAGTAAATGCGATGAATATTGTTTAGTTCAGTTTTGCATTATTGTATAGAAGTATGTGTAGGGTGTATATGAACAGATCTATCATTGGTTCTGGGTTCGATTGATTGTTTTGCTAGAGTCTTAATTAGTGGATTCTTAGCTGATTTAGACTACAAAGATTCATCCTTTATCAGTTTTTGTATTATTGATTTGCTTGTAAGCAGGAAGCTCGAATTTTACTAGTAAATGCGATGAATATTGTTTAGTTTAGTTTTGCATTTTTTTTATAGTATGTGTAGGGTGTATGAAAAGATTTATTTTTGTTAGAGAAACGGTTTGGTAAGTTCCTAATAGCGTTTTTTGGCCAATGGTTCTTCGTGCCTTATTTTGCTAGAGTCTTAGTTAGTCGATTTTTAGCTGATTAAGACTACNATGAATATTGTTTAGTTTAGTTTTGCATTTTTTTTATAGTATGTGTAGGGTGTATGAAAAGATTTATTTTTGTTAGAGAAACGGTTTGGTAAGTTCCTAATAGCGTTTTTTGGCCAATGGTTCTTCGTGCCTTATTTTGCTAGAGTCTTAGTTAGTCGATTTTTAGCTGATTAAGACTACAAAGTTTCATCCTTTATCAATTTTGTATTATAGATTTGCTAGTAAGAAGGAAGCTCGAGATGTTTGAAAAGGATGGATACAGTTTAGTTCAGGTGTTTCGCATTAGTTCAATGTCGAAGTATGTGAGGGTGTATGAACAGATCTATCTTTGTTAGAGAAACGATTTGCTAAGTTCCTAATAGTCTTTTTTTGAACAATGATTGTTGATTTTGAGAAGAGGAAGGTTTGGTGGTATAGCTCTGGAAGGTATCTGACTATGTATTGTTGTGTTGTGTGTTATTATAGGTTGCGGATAATTTACTTCATGATTCTTCCAGTAATTTGGAAACTTCGATTCTTAGCTGATTTAGACTACATAGCTGCACAAAGTTTCATCCTTTTTCCTTATATCACTTTCTTATCCTCGATTTGCTTGTAAGCAGGATGATGTTTGAATACGATGAATATAGTTTAGTTCAGTTGTTTCGCGTTAGTTTAGTGTCGCATTATTGTTTAGAGGTATGTGTAAGGCGTATGAACAGATCTATCTTTGTTAGATAAACGGTTTGGTAAGTTCCTAATAGCTTTTTTGACCAATGGTTGTTGATTTTGAGAAGAGGAAGTTTTTTTTGGTGGAACAGTTCTGGCAAGGTATCTGACTATGTACTGTTTGTTGTGTGTGTTATTATAGGTTGCGGATAATTTACTTCATGATTCTTCCAGCAATTTGGAAACTTTGATTTTTTGTTCTCAGACCCTTAGAAGCAAGGTAACCACACTTTTAGTTGTCTTCTCGCTATATGCAATTTTTGAGACTGCATCTTTTGACATATGGTCTGTCTTACTCAAAGGTTCAAAGAGATTTTGAGGAACTACCACCTGGTGCTTTTCAGAAGCTAAGGGAATCATTAACGGCAAGTCTTTGTTCTGTTAAGTAATTTTACCGTGAGTTATAGGGTTTATGAATAGTTATGTATTGATTTTGAACAATTAGGCAATAGGAAAACTCAGTTGAACTAGTGTTTTGCCAATATGTACCCTGGCATCTAGGTTTTATCAGGAGTTCGTTATTACAGCCTATAATGTCGGCAACATGTGCTCATGGTATTGAACAAGTACTTTCTAAGTGTCCTCTGTATAAATTTGACTGTCACTATTTTCTCAAGTGCAGACATTGTTAAAAAAGTTTCACAAAGGACCCCCTAAAGTTAGGACCCAGGTAAGCTTCAATATTTTTCTCTCTCTTATGGTCATGTAAAACTCTTGATTCTTTGAGCTGAGTTATCTTATTAAAGTATTTTATATTGTAGATTAGTATTGCTGTTGCTGCCTTGGCGGTGCACGTTCCTGCGGCAGATTGGGGAGATAGTGGTATAGTAAGCTGGCTCAGGGATGAGATGAATATGCACCCTGAATATGTGCCTGGTTTCTTGGAACTCTTGACAGTTTTACCCGAGGTAGAGTATTTTGCATTCCTTTGTTCAATTGTTCATCTCTCTCGGTGATTAAAATGAATTCATGTAGCCGGCTATATAGGTAATGAAAGACCTTGTTTTGGTGTGAGTGTGACTTGGATCTGCTTAGTTCTTAGTTATGCTGGTATTGTTGATCTCAAATTGAGTAGAACTAAGCTTAAGGTTGACAATGTATTCCGAGAATGGCCCTATTGGCAGAAAATGGTTGAGATTTGTAAAGAATCCATAATGTCTACCTTTCCCTTTGATTTGATTCCCTTAAGGGACTATTTTATTGTGGCGCAACTGCTAACATTTATTGTAATATTAACTTCGTTTTAGATTGTTATATGATGTTTTGCTTTTTATTGACCAGGAAACGTTTAACTACAAAATAGCTGCTCGTCCGGATCGACGGCGTCAGTTTGAGAATGAGCTTACTTCTCAAATGGAAGCTGCACTTAGTATATTAACAGCATGCTTGAATATAACCGAACTTAAAGAACAGGTCAGAGCTTATTTTTTTTATATAGTGTCATGTCTTAGCTCCATTCATATGATTTGTTATTCAACCATCTTTTATGATTCCCGTACACTTTGTTTTCTTTCTTTAAACTAAATTTTGGTTGCTTTACACCAGTCAAGAGCTTTTGTTTGACTTAAAACGTGTCAATTTCCATGTAAAAGCTTGATTGCAACTTAGGCTTTCATTTCCTGCCAAATGTAAATATTCTTCTAGCATATTATTAGCTTCCGAAAAATGTCCTGTGTCTGAATTTAGAGTAGAATTAGTTTTTGTGCCTGTGTGTGTTAGATCAGCTAGTGTTTCTAGTGTTGCAAGGGGTCACTTATTGTCAGTTATTTTTTTGTGATTTTGGAATTCAGGTTCTTGAGGCATTTGCTTCTTGGCTCCGTCTTAGGCATGGGTATGCTCTTTCTTTTTGTTTTTTTTCTTCTATTTGGTTAACATTTTTCCTTTATAGAATCTCTTAGACACAAAGCTAAGCTTATCTGGTCAATAATTGTTGGTTGCTACTAGCTAGCCGTCCTATTTTTCACTAATATTTAACTTACCAACGATGATACTTACTGCAGTATATGCGGGTAAACTTTGTGATGAATTTTTACAGGATTCCTGGAGCAGTGCTTGCCTGTCATCCTTTGGTGCATGCAGCTCTCTCAAGTTTGAACTGCGATCCGCTCTCAGAGGCATCTGTAAATGGTATATACATAGGCTTTTAGTCTTTGGGATACTTCAAATAATATTTTCTGGACAAATAATTTGAATGTACTCTACTAGACTATTTATTAATAAACTTCATTTTCAACTTTGCAGTTATATCTGAACTGATACATTACACGGCATCACCAAGCTCTGGTGGTATTTCTGCGCAAACACCCTTGATTCAAGTTATTGTGCCTCAGATTTTAAGTCTTCAAGCCCATCTAAGAGACTCTTTAAAGGTATTGTCATGATTTTGTTAACCTTTTGTATTTAATATAGGCAAGCTGATGGATAAATCTGCTTGATATTAGGCTTCGTTCATTTACATATTTCCTGTTCAACTAGTATGCGGATGGAACTACTATTTATTTTGTTGCTCATGGATTCCATTAAAGGCACATAGCCTTAAATAATAGGATGCTAATGGCTTACATTTGTTTCACTTTCAGGACGAAGAAGATGTCAAAGCTATTGGTCGATTATTCGCTGACGTAGGCGATTCATATGTTGAATTGATCGCTACAGGTATACAGCCTCATTTTACTACTATGCCATGTCGTTCCCTTTCATGTATTTTGATCGCTTTTGGTACTCTAAATCCTTTAGTTGATAGTTTAAATGTTTAATATGTTAAGGTACTTTTTTCTGACATCTAGGTTCAGATGAATCAATGGTTATTGTGCTTGCTCTGCTGGAAGTTACTTCACATCCAGAATTTGATATAGCCTCTATGACCTTCAACTTTTGGCACAGTCTTCAACTTACGTTGACAAAGAGGTAAAATCATCCTCGTTTATGTTTGCTGGTGGACTTCTAGTGTCATATTCTGAGAGTGTGATTTTACTCTATCAGGGATTCTTATAGTTCCTTGGGTAGTGAAGCATCTATTGAAGCTGAGAGAAACCGAAGACAGCATATCTTTCGGTCAGCCTATGAGAGGCTTGTATCTTTGGTGAGTGTGTGTCATCAGATACTCCTCCAGTTCATTTTTGTTAGCTATAGAATGTTTGGCACCTTAATTTGTGCTCTAACCCAGAGAGACGATTGCATAGGTGATTTATGTGTTTATTAATGTTACTAAAATTTCATTTTGATTGATCATCTTTTGGTGGAAAACATGAAGTCAGATGGCCTATTATACGCTTTGCACATTTTGTGGGTTTAAACATATAAAGTGGTTTTCTTCACAGGTTGGCTTCAGAGTTCAGTATCCTGAAGATTATCAAGGCCTCTCGTATGAGGACCTTAAGGAGTTCAAGCAGACTAGATATGGTAATCATACCCGCGTGTGGCTTGTTACATAGTCAAAATCTCCTGCTCTCAATATTGCATAGATCAATTCTCTACTAGATTTATATTATGTAGTTCTCTAAATATAGGGGGAGGAAAATTGTTTCCATCAGGACTTTTTAAATGGATTGTTCTGTTTGCTTATAGTTTTGCTTCCGAGGTTTTGTGGTTCTTTTAGTCACTGCGTGGGTGTTGTACCTCTCAGTATCTGTTTAGATTGACGTATTCTTTTTATATTTGTTAATGTGTGCCATGCTGGATAATCTCTGACGGCCCAAATGTCCTCCTTTTCTCATTTTATTTGGTTGAACCGTTGCTTAATACTAATGGAATGTTTATATTGCCAGCTGTTGCAGATGTACTAATTGACGCTGCATTAATCTTGGGAGGTGATACAACTCTTAAGATTCTCTATATGAAGCTTCTTGAGGTTTGTACTGTATATTATTATTAAGCATGCTATTTGTTCTATCAGCAAATAAAGTACGTGCTTTGGGAGATATTGAATCAAATATTATATAGAGATAAATTAGAAAGACGTTAACACAATCTGAATTATCACCACCACACACTTGCATTATGTACATTGTTTACAAATTTAGGATATTTGACGTTTGCGAAATGTACACAGGCCAATGCTCAGACAGGAAATAATTTTCAAGAATGGCGTCCAGCAGAAGCCATCTTGTTCTGTATTTGGGCAATATCAAACTATGTTTCAGTTGTTGAAGCTGAAGTGATGCCCCAGGTCTGTATTAGGGATAGTTCCTCCATGTGCATGTTCATATATGATGCTGCTGCTGCCATAATCTTAAGCATGTATGATGCTGCTGCTATTTTCAGGTGATGGCCTTGCTTCAAAATCTTCCCCAGCAAGCGCAACTGCTTCAGACAGGTGATTAGTTTTTTTTTCTCTCAGATATAATATGTAGAAGGTGAAAAACTGCTTGGTGGAAAGTACTAGCTTATACTGTCAAGAGACATTCCGAGATATGCTTAAGTTTTTATAGTTGAATAGCAAATGTGTCTGCAGCCTTGTCTTAGATGATGAGACATCTCTTTCCCTATTTGATTTCAGCATGCTTACTTGTTGGGGCGTATTCAAAATGGCTTAATGCTGCGCCAGCTAGTGTTTCAATATTGCCGTCGATCATTAGAATTCTTATGAGTGGAATGGGAACATCTGAAGATTGTGCAGCGGCTGCAGCTTTGGCTTTTAGACATATTTGTGACGGTATTGTATTCTCTCTTGCAAACTTGACAAGTCTTCCTTCTCCTTTCTCTTCTAAGCATAACATTGACATTATGATGAGTACACATATATTACAGAACTGGCTGTCTTATCTCTTCGTTGTTTCCTGACCATAACGTTGAAAAATAAATTTTGGTTTTGGCATTGGTGATTACATCAGCTATATTATGATGGTTATAGGATTGAACTGGCTCTCCTTTTATAAATATCTTTCTACCAGGGCTGTTTTTTTAAAACTTTTTTCTTATTAAATTCTCCTAGACCCGGCAGAATAACGCTTAGTTTCTTATTTGGGCTTCACAGCTTCAGGAAATTTCGTACTTGCAGCTTTTTCATTTGCAAACTAAATTCTGGGTTGGTAGTTTTCTCTTAGGAATTGTGAAGTTCTGACATCTCTAAAATTTCAATTCCATTGTGCCTACTGACCTGCTTCAAAGATGGCAGCTAGTCAAATGATCTGACTGGAACCTACGCCAATGGATCTGACTTCGGCTCTACTGAATTGCTAGCATATATAGGGTACATTGCCACACTGACAAGTATTTGGAATTTTGCTGTATGCTTTCCTTGAACTGAGTTGTGTGTTTCCAGTTTCGTTTGATGTTAACTGCCATTAACAAACTACTTATTAACAAGTTACTTTTCATGCTAATTGTGTGAACACCTTTCTCATAGTAAATATACAAAGCTCTAACTCTCTAACATCTTATTTTTTTTTAAATGCGGATTGCTTAATACAGAAAGGTGTTTGTGTTGAAGCTGATATGCACATATCATATTTTAATTGGTGTTCGTTTGGTAAACATCTGATTGCAGATTGCCGAAAAAATCTTTGTGGGTATTTTGAAGATTTACTTACAATCTACTGTATGGCAATTAATGGCGGAGGTGGTTATAAAGTATCTGCTGAGGATTCGCTAAATCTCGTTGAAGCATTAGGGTATGGAGTCAACTGAATGATGGATTATGTCTCCTCACATGTGTGTTATTAACACCTCTAAGATTTTGTTATGCAGAATGGTTGTTACAGAACTTCCTTTAGATCAGGCCAGGACTGCACTTGAGAAATTATGCTTCTCAGTCGCTTCTCCTCTAGAGGTTCGCCATCTTGACTTTTTTGCATTGTTGTTTGATAGATTAATAATAGGCTTATAGTGAAGGGAACTGTAAAACTGTAAATCAGGAAGCGGCAAAAGAAGATTTGGACAAGAAGCATGCCCGGGAATTAACTATTCATATTGACCGGTTTGCCTACCTGTTCAGGTTAGTATAATATCTCAATAATGCGATGTGACTCCGTACGTTTTCTTTAGTCTTGCTAACAGATGCTACCACCTTAGGTATGTGAACCACCCTGAAGCTGTTGCTGCTGAGATAAATAAGCATTGGGCTATCTTCAGAGTAATTTTTGATGCGTGAGTGTTTCCCTAGACACACTTGATGATTACTACATGTTCTTCAAAAATGATATTTTTATGTAGCTCCTTACTTTAAAGTGGTTTTACTGCAGTCGTCCTTGGGACATGAGGACAATGGAATCTCTATGCAGAGCATGCAAATATGCTGTGAGCTTCACACACTCTTGTTCCTCTGTTTGCTAAACATTCCATTTCTAAGCAAATAAGTGAAAAATCTAAAAGCATCTTTTTGATGAGAATATGGTAGAGGATACTTCATTAAGATAAGACAATGGTTGTAGGTACGAACTTCTGGAAGATACATCATTAACACAATTGGAGAAATGCTAGCAAAGATTCAATTCCACTATCAGCAGCATCACCAGCCATGCTTTCTTTATCTTTCCAGTGAAGTTATAAAGGTAGGCTGTGTTGTTTTCCTTGGAGAAATGATTTTAGAGAACTAATCTTTGTGAGAGATTTGCAGATTTTTGGTTCAGACCCATCTTGTGCTGACTACTTGAAGAATCTGATTGAAACACTCTTTGCACATACCACATGTCTTATGACAAGTATCAAGGTTAATGACTTTATAATCTCATCAAGTTCTTATTTCCTCTATGGTATCTGATTTTCTCTTTACATTTTTTTTACAGGAAGTCACTGCTAGACCAGACATAGCTGATGATTGCTTTTTGTTGGCGTCAAGATGTCTGCGTTACTGTCCACATTTGTTTATTCCCTCTCCTATATTTTCACCTATTGTAGATTGCGCAATAGTTGGAATGACAGTGCAGCACAGGTTTTACTCATCATAAATAGTTTTCCATTTAGAAGGTTTTGACATTGATGCTAACTAAAATGTCTTGAACGTGTTTTCCAGAGAGGCCTGCCACTCAATATTGACCTTTTTATCCGACATTTTTGACCTCGAGAAGTCTGTTAATGAAGAACAGTTTGTACGAATCAGAGACAGTGTCATTATCCCCAGGGGAGCTACAATCACCAGGATCTTGATCTCATCATTAGCAGGAGCACTTCCCAGTTCTCGGCTAGACACGGTAAACTTAAGAATCAATTCTTAATAAGTTAGGAATCTATCTTTTTACTGCATTTTGAGTGATGTTAATGGCCTTTGTATGGTTTGGTTAGGTAACATACACGCTGCTAGCTTTGACCAGAACATACGGTTTACAAGCAGTGGGTTGGGCTAAGGAAAGTGTTAGCCTGATACCTAGAACAGCTGTGACAGAGACCGAGGCCACCAAGTTCTTGCAAGCTTTATCCGATGTTACTTATGGCGCTGATGTGAATTCTCTGATAGGACATGCAGAGGAACTTTCAGATGTTTGTCGCCGTAACCGTACTGTTCAAGAACTTGTTCAGGCTGCTTTGAAGCCTCTTGAGTTGAATATGGTTGCTCCTGTATCATAGAGATGATGAGAAACACACAAAGAAAGTAAAAGAAGAGTGGAGAAAGAGCCATAAAAGAAGGTCAATTTTTGCATAGACCTCCTTTTGATGGTTATTTTTTTAAATGGTGAAAGAGAGTTCATGTTTTATCTTGCATTGTTTTACTGTTTTTAGTTGTTCATAAAGATTCTTTCATATATTTTTAGTTCTTTCTGGTGTGTTCCATTGTTTGAGAGAAAACAGAAGGGATCCTTTTCCCCTCTTCAAGGATTGGTATGATTTTGAGTGCGATTCATATACAAAAGCATCGATTTATTTTTCTTTTCTCTTTTACCTTGCAGAGTATTGTTATCAGTGCCTAGGTGATGTGATATTTTTTTGCTTTTACTTTTAACTTGATTCCTTTTTTCTTACTTTATGTCTAGTTAACTTGCATATACAGTAATCATGTGCTTACACTTTCACTCAGTCACTATGCTTTCTTCTTGTCTTAATCTCCATTAGCATCTTGGTGATCAGCAGCTTTTTTTCTATCGTAATCTTTACTCTAAAGTCACATGATCACCACTGCTTGAGCATTATGTTTATGTGTTTGATTGCCCATACCCATTCATGGACTATAATACAAAAAAAATTAAGAAAAAGTTTTATTTTTTACTTTTGAAACCTACTAAACTATTTGATTGCCCATGAAGTCCCTTTATGACACAAAAGAACAGTAGAAACAACAACATTGTGGGCAATAATTAATTCAACTAAAAGATACTCCCTCCGTTTCATTTTAATTGTCATTCTACGTTTTTGCACACAGATTAAGAAAACATTTAATTTTACATATTTTCAAGAAAAAAACACAATTAACTATACACCTAACCACTTTTCAACCAATAGAAAAATAGAATATCACATTAAACTAATAAATTTTGTCTCGAAACTTTAAAACGACACTTATTTTGAAACGAAATTTTTCCTCTAGAATGACAATTAATTTGAAACGGAGGGAGTAAGAAAGATCAATTTTCTTTTCCAAAGTAGAGAAAAGAAAATCAGTTGCCAACTACTTCAATTATTCAACCCGTGAATTTACACAAGTTAGGTAGCTTACCTAATCTACATTTTCAAGGATTTTAGTAGAACATATTTTCAAGAAAAAGAAAAACAGAAATGGCTGTGAACTTAGGGTAGTAGTAGTAATATGTATATAACTTAATAATCAGTATGAATCACCACATTCATACACAGTGGTTTTTAAGTCTCAGAATCTTCTTCTTCCCTTAATTATGAGGCATACCTGCAAAAGAATCAAACAAGTGTTTCTTACTCATGTTATTGACTAAACACAGAACTGCTTCAACAAAGGACATTGAACATACCTGAAGATACATTATCTGGTCTAATTTCAGCTAATGGGTTTACTATAAACCCTGCAGAACCATTAAACCGCTGCCTAGAGTCTTGCATCCACATGGTTTCTGCATTTCTGTTTCTGTAAGTAGCTAGCCTGGATGCTGATTCTTGTTTCTTCCAGAACTTGGATGTAATGAAACTTCCAGGAGGAATGAGACAACAGTTGTTTCTGTTTGAACTCATTCTCCCATTTGAAACCGCTAAGTCATAAGATATCTCATCCAACGCAATCTCTAGGCCCTGAACTCGAGTTTCCAGACTATGCATTCCATGTTGTGAGCTTCCCACAAATCTCTAATGAAATAAAACACAATAAGTTTCCAGGAACTATGGATCATCATAATCATGTTTTTAAAACAAACCTGAAGAAGATCCATTAGACTGGATTGTTGTTGTTCAATCTGAACAAGCTGACTACGTATAAGAGACATATCTTCAATCCCTTTGCAGTTATTACTACTATTCTTGTTTTCAGACAAGACATGATCACCAGTAAGAGAACTAACAACACTTCCTACCTTCTCCGTCTTCTCCTTATTAGATTGACTCGCTTCACTTGTGTTTTCCTTATGGTGTTGATACTCTTCTTCAGCTTTAAACTCCAATCTTCTCCTTACATTTGATTTACTATGTGATGGTACTGAGCTTGTTTTCTTCTGATCACTACTTCTTACATTAGTCCGTCTCCTCGCCGCGGTGGCGACTGAGCTCCCCGGTGGAGTCGTTCTATTAACCAGATGAGTTCTTGATTTACCAGGTGTTGATCCAACTCTAGAGCCTAAAGGGTATCTTCCATCACTTGCATCACCTAAAATCAAAAGTACACAAGGATAAGTAACTAAAATAGTATGTTTGCTAAACAAGAAGTTTCTTAATTTAGCTAAGATCCAAAGCTACCTTTAGAAGAAGCATTAGATCTGGGAGGAGAAACCTCCTCTGATAAATCTGGTACTTGTCTCCACACCTCTATCATCTCATTCATCACCTCTCTCACAGCTTTCACCTACACACATAGATTGATCATCATGCTTGAGACAAAACCTACACTCATCAAATAGAAAAGACCAAACTAACCTTATCATATCTTTTTCCTTCAAAGATCTTCAAACACTTAGCCTTAAACTCTCCCAACTCATTCCTCTCCACCATCGCCAACCTCCGCAACGCCGCCGCCGCTTCTTTCCTCGCCGACCAATCTTCACTACTCAAAACACTAACCAAACAATCCACAACTCCACCACCACCACAACCACCAGCACCGATCACACTTCCGATCACAACAACTCCAGCAGACTTGGCCTTAAAAGCCTTACACTTCACCAACTTCTCAAGCCTCGGCAGAAGCGTACCCCCTAACCTCTCCGGATCCGGATCCTCCGCGGCGTCAATCGCCGCCGCCAGACACAACCCCGCTCCGATCTGCGCGTTCACCTCCCGCTCCGTGAAAAGAGCCTCCGACAAAGGCTTCAAGAACGCAGAACCGAAGGAAGGCTTCGTGGTGCGCGACGCCATCGCCGTCACCGCCGCCACGCAGGCGGAGCGGATGGAAGAGTCCGGATCACGGAGGCGGCGCGTGATGCGGGCCAGGATCTTGGAGAGGTGAGGGGAGAGAGAGTTTGGAGGGAGAGAGAGCGAAAGAACTGTGAGTAAGTTGATGCAATGCTTACGAACCGCCGGTTTATCGGAAGTGTCGACGGAGAGGATCACGGAGATGAAGGAGTGGAGATTCGTGGGATCGATGTTTCTTGCTATCGAGTCTAGCTCTTTAGCCGCCATTGTGAACGTGTCTCGATCACTGAGCTTTGTTAACAACACCGACATGTTCTGTTTCGAGCTTTTCTCCATTCTTTCCGACCGTTTTAAGTATTTTCCGGCGAAGACGGTGGCAGTGGCATTTAGTGTAAATTAAGAGCTAGATGTGTGTTTGGTCGGGACGTAAAGGTTTTGACTCGGTGATCTTTTTTATTACAGTTTGTTTGCGTGTGTCTATGTGTTCTGTCTTTATACCGTTTTTTTTTATTTGGAGAGAGTGATGATGAAGATGAACTGAAACGATGCCGTTTATTCAGGTGTGTAAATAATCACGCTAAAGGGGACATGATGATGCGTGTTTAAGAATGATCTGCCTTGTTTTCGTAAATGGTGTATTTAATGGAATTGATATTGTCAGACCGAAGTGACATTTATTGAAAGGTTTAGTGTTTTTAGAAGTATAGTGTTCCCCGTTGGTCTACTTGATTCATGTGTAATGTGATTATCTTAAGTTACAGTAATTATTGTAGAATTAATCTATTCTTTTGGTCTTGTTTAATACTTCACTCAGTACCGGTTCTAACATGAGAAAGATCAGAAGCAATTTTCTAAAAATTGACCATTTTTTTATAAATTTTTATATACTATAATGATAATTTTCTTCTAAAAAATGTTGAATTTTTCAAAAAAAAATTGAAGGCTGCAAACTATTGCTTGTAATGCTTTCCTTCAGGGTCGGTACTGCTTCACTATACAAAATATTTTTTACAAAAGTAATATACTCAAAACTAATAGTTAGTGAATCAGATGACTATGTATCTCTTGAATCATAATCTCATTTCGATAGACAAAAATGTGTTTGATTTGAAATCTGATATTATATGATTAGAAGTTGGTAAACCCGACTATGAAAACAAACTATAACATTTATCTACATGTGTCAAAAATTTAAATGCAATGTTATAACATCGATAATATGTCAAAACATCAATGAAAATTATTAGATTTCTTTAGTTAATTATATGATATTTAGTAGTTTATGAATATTAGATTCATATAGTTTATGAAGCTTTCAATCAATACATTAAATTTTAAATGGTTGTAGTAGATATAATAGATGTGATATTTCTTTTTACGAAATTGCATACCTCTCAATATCATAAATTGATTGAATGTCGACAACATATCAAACTATGGGTACAAATGTAGACAATATAGAACATAGGACTTGTGACTTTCAAACATCTATATGTGCAAATCAAGCAAAAAGTAACTTAATATGATGGGCTTCTTTGTGATACGTAACCCAGGGTGGTTCAACTAACATTTTAACATTTTATATGCATATTTGGTGAACCAATGTTATCAAATTAAAGCATGAAAGTTCTTTGTACTTGGTTTCATTAGTGTAGATGATTATTTAATTAGCGTGAGACGTGAACAACGTGTGGTGGTGGATATGGTCATGTTAAGTCAGCACATGGTTTGAGATCCGGTCTATACGGGTATAGATCCGGAGGCTTCTTGATTTCTGAACTGGGCCAAAAAAACTCGGTAAATAGTCAGGCTGCACCGATCCGGCCTACACATATATTACAGAGACTGAAGTCTTCATATAAACCTTGTGGAGTAACTTCAGTGTCAACATTAGCACTGTACTGGCCACTACATTCTGCTGTGTTGTGAATATTTGACACAAAACCATAACTCTCCAAGGTGATTAAAAATCAAAACGGAGTAATCAATCCCAACACTTCTTTGAGAACAGCCTGAAATAATCCAATACATATTTTGGAAAGAAGGTTTACCACTTGATGCCTGTTAGATGCTTTGCAAGAGCCAATTCAACTTCTTTCACCTGTTCCAAGGGATATATTCATATACAAATAGCTAAAGCAATTACAAAATTCTTGGAGGAAGGTGCTAAACTCATTTAACATGATGCGTACCACTCCACGGATTAATAGTAGTATGACTATTTTTGTTTTTTTTGCTAAACGACTATTTTTGTGTTCCAATTTAATTTTATCTTCCAACAACTTTGGTTAGATAAAATGAAACCTAACTATACATCTAGGCCACGAACACAAAGATCAACTAGTCTTCTAAAAAACCATTCACAGAAAATCGAACTGAAGAATCCATCAGAAGGCAATATATTCATTTTATTGTGCATTGTGACTAAATATATATATTAACCTTATAATTTTGTCACACTTTAATTCTTTTTATGAATAATTGAGTATTACACAATTTATATTATGAAAAAGTCTATCACGGTTAAATATACTAAAATATATACAAAAAATGTTAAAGGATGTACGTAGAAATATTATTAGAGCTGGACCAAGAAATCATAAAGCATGCGGAAAACTGCAATGATCCATACAAAAGCATATTCAAGTTCCCATGATTCATCCTTGTTCTTATTGTCACATGGTATATGAATCAATTAGTTTTGAATAGGTTACAAAATTAGCCTATATGGATAACACTAGTTTATGCCCAAGTCATAACTAAGGTCTTGTCCTATGATAACAATAGAAATACATTATTCTTTATTCGTTTTATTCCAGCGTAGTGTTAAAACGGGTGGTGTATCGAGATTTCTTGAGAAGTATATCCCATCAAGTTTGGCCGTTCATACACGTATCTCGCCACATTCAGGGATAATTCGGTCTCCTGCTTTGTATACTTGAACTTCATAAAAGTATTCCATGTTAGTTCTTTGCTTGACAAACATGTCCAGCTTGTTTCACGAATTAATTCATCATGGAATGAGATGATATATGGAGAACCATTAAAGGCTAAGCTTTGTATGCCTAAATCATTGTCACTGGAAACACAACGGAACCGGAGAAGTCTACCAGGAGTGAATTCGTTATGAAGTAAAACATGTAGCCTACAATATGTAGTAAATAATATAAAAAATATGAGGTGTTTTATTTTTTTGTCTAAATGATTATGATCGGAGTACAAAGACATTAATGTGTAGTATTTATTAAAATCTTTCTATTTAAACTATATCTTACCTTATTAGTAAATTTCTTTTACAAATATGTTTTGACCGTATCTTTTTAAATCTTGTCTTTCTTAGTTTCCAAGCATTTCTCGTAAAACAAGTTTGAAAATTTGGTAAGTTTATTTTTAAATCTCGTTTTGTTAGAAAATAATGTTATAAGATTTTATCTTAAACAAGTTTTAATAAGATTTACCAGGTGAAAGCAACATAAGATATAACCCCCATTGAAGCAAAGTCCTAATTTTGTAGAAACATGAGTCAAGGCATGCCCTGGGATTTAGGGATCCATATACGATTTATAAAGATCTCAACTAATTTTTCTTTTTAAAAATTTAGGGACCTATTTTTTTTGAAAGACCTATGTCTATGTAGTTTAAAAAAAAGAAGCATTGACAAACGAGTTTATAAAATTTTATAAATCATACAAATTTTTTTTTTCAAAACCTATATAAAAATTATAAATCATTTAGAAACGCTAATAAAATAATTTTGTAAACAAACAAATTTTATAAATAATTTCATAATCTTTACAAGTGATTTATAATTTTTATATTGGTTTTGAAAAAAAATTGTTTGCGTGTGTATAAATATAATTCCTTATATAATAATATACAACCATTGTATTTAATTTTTATAAAAAGTACATTAAAATATTTTTTATATTTATATATACATAATTGATAAAAATAAAATAAAAATTGATGAAACCTTATATATTCTTTCTATAACTCTGAAAATAGTTACCATAAATCACTAGTTGTAAAATTACTTGTGTTTTTTTTTTGCTGGAATTAAATTAATTATAAAATTTTAATTTTAATTAGTTTAAAATTTTAAAATATTTTCAGAAAATGTTTATATTTATCTACCCACTCGCAAATTATAACTTTTGATTTTAAGAGATTCGAAGCGGTTTGAAACAATTACAGCGCTTTGTGATTATTGTAAAACGCCAACAAATATTGTCAACCGCAAAATCTGCGTTTACATGTGGTAGCTGAAAACCCAATAAGACCCCTAATGTGATTATTTTTTATCATTTAGCTTAAATTGTATTTTTCATGGTTAGATTATATATATATATATATAATATTTATAACTTACTATAATTATTTTATTATTATTTAAACATAAAATAATATTTTTGAAGTTTTTTTGTGTTTCGGAGCCATTTTAACGTTTTGCATGGGGGCTGGGTTTTATACACTGTTTGCAGAGAAATGTGTATCGATAATCCACATCATATGAAACTAATCATAACCCTACCTGTAACCTGCTCTCAAATCCAACACTTTTGTTCATGAAGAATATTTTTAGTTTGCATACTTTTGGAGACACAATTCTGTTCTTGATCAATTCATAGTAGTCTGTAATTAATGTTGTTACATGTTTCATATATTTAGATGATAAAATCGGAGTATTGGGTCTTAGTACTACAAGCATGAGGTTCGTGCCAAGGAATTGAGTGTGAAAAGCCTCACGTGCCTACAACTACAAAAACAAGACTTTGCATCAATGGGGTTATATATGATTTTGCTTCCACAGGGTAAATCTTTAAACTTGTTTAAAAGAAAACCTTTAAAATATTGTCTTTCTAAGAAAAACAAAATTAAAAAGATACTTGCCAACTAGTCAAACTTATTAAAAGAAAAAATCTTGAAAGTAAATAAAAAAGATATGGTCATTACTAATAAGGTAATATATTATTTGGTAGTTTAAAATAAATAAAAAACGTTTCACACAAGTTTTTTAATAAATACTAGACAATAATGCTTTTGTACTCCAGTATAATCATTAGATAAAAAAAAATGAAACACCTCATACTTTTTATCTTAGTAACTACATACTTTAGGCTACACAAAGCTTGTGAGAAAAATCGTGTTATACTTCATAACGAACTCGGTCGGGGTAGAATTCTCAAGTTCCACTGTTATTCTGCAGACAATGATTTAGGCGTCAAGAACTTAAACTTCAATGCTCCTCCATATATCATCGAGTTCCATGACGATGTGATTTATAGAACAACATGGAATTGTTTGTTAAGGCAAGGAGCTAACATGGAATACTCTTATGAAGTTGAAGTATACAGAGCAGGAGATGATATTATCCCTAAATGTGACCAGATACGTGTATGGACGGCCAAACTTGATGGAATATATTTTTCAAGAAACTCTAAAACACCTCCCGTTTTAGCACTACGTTGGAAAAAAACATAATGTATTTTTATTTCTTTCATGAAACTATAAACAATATCAAAATATTGTAATTGTTTTCTTATTAATTTAACATAAAGAAACTTATTTTTGAAGTTTTTTTTATTATAATCAACCCTTTTATCAAAAAAAAGAAATCAAAATATTATAATAACATACGACTTTATGTGATATATATGTTTGTCTGCTAAATCTCTGATGAGGTTCAGCAATGTCTCATATTTTTTGGTATTGTCTTATCCATTCCCAATGTTTTAGCAATTGTTATCTTATATATGGTCACATCCTTAGAGCATGTACATCAATAAACCTAGAGAGAGGGGTTCACAAAACTTTTTTTTTTATTTTTTTATTTTATTTTTTTTCGTTTTGACTTTTTTTAAAAAAAAAAAAAAAAAATTGGACCAATTGCGGGCCGCCACGTGGCGTGGGGCCCGCAGAATAGTGATGAACAACCTGCATGAAACGAATCCACCCCATTTCACTTATTTTATTATTTTCTTTTCTTGAAAAGTGTGAGAACTCCACCTATAAAACTCTAATGTGGGTGCTCTTAGGTTGTCTATACATGAGTCTGAAAGCCAAAGTGTGTGTACTGTGTATTGGGATCGGTGAAGAGCTGAAATAGAGATATGAGAAAGGTTATAATCAAAAGAATTGCTATTGGAAACTTATATTCCAATTTTAAAACTTTATTCTCGAACTCTTGGAAAGACTAATCAAACTTCAGAAAAAATAATTAAGTTATGTAAATTTTAAAATATTTTGAATAAAAACATAAAATAATTTTTTTTTACATAATTGGATAAAATTTTAGAAAAATATATAATTTGTTTTAAGAAAATTTGATATATTATATAATCTATTAACAAAAATAATAAATATGAATAACTAAACTAATTATTATAATTAAAAATTAAATTTAATTAAAACATTTAGTTTATTATATTTATTTATAGTGCCACCCGCCATTAGTGGACTGGCAAAATCAAAATTGTTTGAGCCATTATAGAAAACTTTTTTTGATAACGTTTATAGAAAACTATTATTATTATTATTATTATTATCATAAAACATAATATAAATTACTAAAATAAGAAAATCATCAATTCTATTATTTATGAAGTGATTTTATTCTTAACTCTCACGTATAAAGTTAAAGTGGTTAAAACTGTTGTTGCCCTTAATCAATAATTATATTTGGTAATATATAATTAATCATAAACTAAAAATGATTTTCATTGATTTTATAGTTATCATTATCTAAAACTAGTATATATTATGTTATCTTTCAAAAATGGAAAAAAATAAAAACAAATTTTAACTTTAATAGAATATAACTGATTAAAATTAATGTAAACAAATTTAGCCAATATGATTGAAAAGAAAGTATTAATCATTTAAAATAATTTTATATAATAAAAAAGAGAGTATTGATTGATTTCAAATGGTTACATGTTAATGATGGATATAATGTATTAAAATTTCAAAATATTTATAAAATGTTAGAGTTCTTATAAACGGTATCACAATATATAGCATAGATATGTATTTTTGTTGATAAACTTTATTATATATTATATAATGGATATTACAGTTGATACTATGCTTAAACTTTTTAAGAACAACAATGACTTATCATGATAGTTTTTGAATTAGTAATACATGTATTAATAAATAACTGTAAGATGATTATGCTCGTTTAAGCGGGCGGAAAGCCTAGTTAAATAAAAAATAACAAAACAAAGAGTGATAATAAAAATTAAAGACACATGGAAATCTAAATAATTTTTTAAGAGAAAATCTTGAAATTTAATTTTCTATACTTAACTATTTACAAAGATACCTACAACTTGTCAATATTTAAGTTTTAAAAACTTTATTAGCTAGTACTTTAGACGAAAATATTTTACAAAAAAAAAAAAAAATACAACACATTTGCCTTTGTTACTCATAAATTAGAGCCAAATAAAAATGAAACACCTCATACTTTTTATATTACTTTTATATGTTTCAGGCCAAGTGAAGCTTGCATAAAAAACCGTAACACATTAATTATTGGGAAATTAACCCAATCTTGTGGTCATGTTTAAGACGTTACCTTACCATACAACTTTTTTGAAGCATGTACTTAGAAGAATTATTAGAACTGGACCAAGAAATCATAAAGCATGCGGAAAACTGCAATGATCCATACAAAAGCATGTTCAAGTTCCCATAATTCATCCTTGTTCTTATTGTCACATGGTATATGAATCAGTTAGCTTTGTCCATGTCACAAACGTAGCCTATGGATAACATTAATCTATGCCCTAGCTAGCCATAAAGTTTTGTCTTATGATTGTGTCTTTCCATTTGGAACAAACAAACAAAAGCATGTTAATGTTTTGAACTGATAACCATTTTTGGCCAACTAGCAGATATGTAATGTTAGAGAGGACCTAGTTATTAACTTCGTCAAGAACACGACTACTACTTAGAAGACTTCACGACTTTAAGAATGTATATACCCAAAAACATCAATAGTTTATAGCCATCGAGAACACTTGTTGGGCTCGGTATGAACATTGACAAGTGCTCACTTGTGTGAGATTCGAAGCGGTTTGAAACAATTATAGAGTTTTTATGATTATTGTAAAACGCCAACATCCATTACCAATCTCAAAATCTGTGTTTACAGGTGGTAGTTAAAAAAACCAACGAGACTCCTAATGAGATTATTATATATAACTTATTATAATTGGTTTCTTATTATTTAAACATAAAATAATATTTTTGAAGTTTTTTGTGTTTCAGAACCATTTTAATGTTTTGCATGAGGGCTAAGTTTTATACATTGTTTGCAGAGAAATGTGTATCGATAATCCAGATCATATGAAACAAATCATAACCCTACCCGTAAGCCACTCTTAAATCCAACACTTTTGTTCATGAAGAATATTTTTAGTTTGCATACTTTTTGATACACGTTTCGGTTCTTGATCAATTCATAGTAGTCTGTAATGTTGTTACATGTTTCATATATTTTGATGAGATGATAAAATCGGAGTATTGGGTCTTAGTACTACAAGCATGAGGTTCGTGGCAAGGAATCGAGTTTGAAAAGCCTCACCTGCCTACAACTACAAGAACAAGACTTTGCATCAATGGGGTTAAATATTTTTCTGCTTTCACAGGGTAACTCTTAAAACTTGTTTAAGAGAAAATCTTTAAAATATTGTTTTTCTAAGAAATGCAGAATTAAAAAGATACTTGCCAACTAGTCAAACTAATTTAAAGAGAAAATCCTGAAATTAAATAAAAAAGATCTGGTCAGAACATATTTGTAAAAGAAATGTTCTAATAAGGTAAGATATTATTTGGTAGTTTAAAATAAAAATACCTTTCACACAATTTTTTTTATAAATACTACACAATAATGCCTTTGTACTTCGCTCATAATCATTAAATAAATAAAAAATGAAATACCTCGTACTTTTTATTTTAGTAACTACATACTTTAGGCTACACGAAGCCTGCGAGAATAATCGTATTGAACTTCATAACGAACTCGGTCCGGGTAGAATTCTCGAGTTACATTGTCATTCCTTAGAAGATGATTTAGGCGTCAAGAACTTAAACTTCAATGCTCCTCCATTTGTCATCGGATTCCATGACAATGTGATTACTAGAACAGCATGGTATTGTATGTTTAGGCAAGGAGCTAACAAGGAATATTTTTATAAAATCGAAGCATACAGGGCAGGATATAATTTTATCCCTAGATGTGGCCAATTACGTGTATGGACGGCCAAACTAGATGGGATATACTTTTCAAAAATCCTTGGTACACCACCTGTTTTAGCACTACGCTGGAATAAAGCATAATGTATTTCAATTTCTTTCATGATACTGTACGCTGTATCAAAATATTATAATTGTTTTCTTATTACTTAAACATAAAAGTTGCTGCTACCTTAATGAATAATTAGATTTGGTAATATATAATTAACCATATACTAAAAATAAATTTCAAAATCATTTTATAGTTATCACTATCTAAAACTAGTATATATTATGTTATCGTCCAAAAATGGCCAAAATATAAAATAAAAATAACTTTAATAGAATATAATTTTGTCCATTTCACAACCGTAGCCTATGGATAACATTAATCTATGCCCTAGCCATAAAGTTTTGTCTTATGATTGTGTCTTTCCAATCGGAACAAACAAACAAAAGCATGTTAATGTTTTGAACTGATAACAATTTTTGGCCAACTAGCAGATATGTAATGTTTTCAGTTTTATAATCATATTAATTTGTCTGAAACACGTAGAGAGGACCTAGATATTAACTTCGTCAAGAACACGACTATTACTTAAAAGACTTCGTCAAAAATGTATATTACCCGAAACCATCAGTATTTTATAGCCAACGAGAACATTTGTTGGGCTCGCGGTATGAACGTTGACAAGTGGGCACTTGTGTGAGATTCGAAGCGATTTAAACAATTGTACTCATAAAAAAAAATATCATTTTAAATATCTCTACACAAATTAAGAAAATAATTAATTTTGTATATTTTTTATATAAAAATACACATATCTATATACCTAACCGTATTTTAACGAATAGAAAAATAAATTACATAATAAAATTAATAAATTTTACAATGAAAACCGAAAACGATATTTATTTTGTAACAAATTTTTTTCTCTACAATGACACTTAATATGAAACAGTGAGAGTAGCATTTTGCAGTTATTATAAAACACTAACAACTATTACCAAACTCAAAATTTGCGTTTGCGGTGGTAACTGAAAAATCAGTCAGACCCCTCATGTGATTTTTTTTTTTTAGCTTTTAAATATATATATATATATAACTTAATTATCAATTTTTTTTCTTATTACTTAAACATAAAAATAATCTTTTTTAAGTTTTTTTCTGTTTCAGAACCATTTTAATGTTTTGCATAGGGGCTGGGTTTTATACATTGTTTGCAGAGAAATGTGTATCAATCCAGATCATATGAAACAAATCATAACCCTACCCGTAACCAGCTCTCAAATCCAACACTTTTGTTCATGAAAAAAAAACCTTTTGTTCATGAAGAATATTTTTATTTTGCATACTTTTTGAGACGCGATTCGTTCTTGATCAATAGTCTGTAATGTTGTTACATGTTTCATATATTTTGAGATGATAAAATCAGAGTGTTGGGTCTTAGTACTACAAGCAGGAGGTTCGTGGCAAGGAATCGAGTTTGAAAAGCCTCACCTGCCTACAACTACAAGAACAAGACTTTGCATCAATGGGGTTATATATAATATTATTATTATTATTTTGAACACATGGGTTATATATTATTCTGCTTTCACAGCCTCACAGGGTAACTCTTAAAACTAGTTTAAGAGAAAATCTTTAAAATATTGTTTCTCCATGAAAAACAAGAATTAAAAAGATACTTGCCAACTAGTCAAACTTATTTAAAGAGAAAATCTGGAAACTAAATAAAAAGATATGGTCAAAACGTATTTGTAAAAGAAATTTTCTAATAAGGTAAGATATTACTTGGTAGTTTAAAATAATAAGACCTTTCACACAACTTTTGTTTTTTATAAATACTACACAACAATGCCTTTGTACTTCACTCATAATCATTAGATAAAAAAGATGAAACACCTCATACTTTTTATTTTAGTAACTACATACTTTAGGCTACACGAAGCCTGCGAGAATAATCGTGTTGAACTTCATAACGAACTCGGTCCAGGTAGAACTCTTGAGTTCCATTGTTCTTCCGTACACGATTTACGCGATGATTTAGGCGTCAAGAACTTAAACTTCAATGCTCCTCCATTTGTCATCGAGTTCCATGACAATGTGGTTTATAGAACAATATGGAATTGTTTGTTAAGGCAAGGAGTTAACAAGGAATATTTTTATAATATTGAAGCATACAAAGCACCAAAAAATTTTATCCCTAGATGTGGCCAACTACGTGTATGGACGGCCAAACTTGATGGGATATACTTTTCAAAAAACGTTGGTATACCACCCGTTTTAGCACTACGCTGGAATAAAGCATAATTTATTTCTATTTCTTTCATGAATCTATAAGCTATATCAAAACATTATAATTGTTTTCATATTAATTAAAACATAAAAGTTGTTGTTATCCGTAATGAATAATTAAATTTGGTAATATATAATTAACCATAAATTAAAAAATATTTTCATTGATTTAATAATTATTATTAAAAGAATATAATTTTATAGTCTCAAATTGAGTTTTGGTTCGATTAGTATATCGATAAATTAATATCTCTCTAAATTAATAAAAAATAAAATTTTGGTGTAGTCCCAACATTATTAATTTATAGAGGTTTCTATGTATTGTGTTATCATCCAAAAATGGCCAAAAATACAAATAAATTTAATAGAATATAATTGATGAAAATTAATATAACACAATTTAGCCAATATGATCGAAAAGATAATATTAATCATATAAAAATATTTTTTTTATAATCGAAAAGAGAGTATTGATTGATTTCAAATATTTACTTATTAATAATGGATATAGTGTATAAAAATTTCAAATATTTATAATATGTAAGAATTCTTATAAACCGTAACACAAAATATACATATGTATTTTTGATGTTAAATTTTATTATATATTATATAATGGATATAACAGTTGATATTATGTTTAAACTTTTTAAGAACATAAACAATAACTTATCATGGTAGTTTTGAATTAGTAATACATGTATTAATAAGTAACTGTAAGACGATTAGACTCGTTTGAGTGGGTAGATAAATAAAGAATAACAAAACAAAGAGAGATAAATAATGAAAGACACATAGTAATCTAAATACTTATTTTAAGAGAAAATCTTGAAATTTTAATTTTCTATACAAAAATATTTAAAAAGACACCTTACAACTTGTCAATATTTATGTTTTACAAAAAAACTTTACTAGCTAGTACTTTAAACGAAAAGATTTTACATGCAAAAAATAAAAAATAAATACTACACATTTGCCTTTGTTACCCATCATTTAGATCCAGAGAAAAAAAATGAAACACCTTATACTTTTATATTACTTATCATTACATGTTTCAGGCCAATTGAACTTGCATAAAAAACCGTGTTGTAAATCAGAACGACCTCGGTCTTGGTAAAAATCTCGAACTTCATTGTTCTTCAAAACACAAAACTTGGACTACAAATTTTAATATATCATCAAATTCCATGAAGAGCTATAGAGTGCACCAAAATGGAATTCCTTTTTTAGGCAAGGAACTCACCTGGAATATTATGTACAACGAGGGAGATAGATTATCCCTCAATGTGGTCATGAACTGCATGTATGGACAGCCAGACTTGATGGGATATACTTTACAAGAAAACTTAGTCGTCTACCATCCGTTTTAGCACTTCGTTGGAAGAAAAATAATGTATTTTCTATCTTTAAAAAATATAGCCAATATTTATGTTGACTAAATCGCTGATGAGGTTCAAGAGTGCCTCAAAGCTCTGGTCCTTGTCTTATTATTTGTTTCCAATAGTTTAGCTATTCTCACAACGTCAATACATGAGTTTGATAGACTACATTATGTGTTCTGGTTCAGTGGAGGGCTGCGATAACCCTTAAGTGATCAATATGTAACCATCTATGAGTTTTCTAACAAGGTCTTATCCATCAAACAAGTTAACCTAACCTTAAGTGATTATTTAATAATGCAAAAACATTAGTCTCTCTTTACAAACAATTGGACATTTCGCTTCTATTATTTAGTAACAGAGAAACAATAATCACGTATTACAATTCACGCAAATTGATAATTTAATTACACCCATTGATTGATATCAATCAACCAAAAAAAAAACATTTTATCAAAAAGGATAAAGAAAAAAAAGAGTGAAGATAATCAAAAAAAAAAAAAAAACTAGAACTGTGAAGAACAAGCGAAACCCCCGTTTTGTCCTCCATGAAACTGATTCCGACTCAACCCAGTCGCTTCAAGCATACGGTTCCACTCACGCGCCTCCGCATTTTCCCCACCATCACCACCTCCTCCTCTAATAGCCTGCAGAATCCTCCCCGCATTCTCCTTAACTCTCCCATTCCCACTCTCCTCCACTTCCTTCAACACTTCCTCAGCTCCCACCTCACTCGCCAACCCCCTAAACCTCATATTCCCCTGACAAAGCATCAACAAAACCGCCACACAATTCTCACGCGCCGCCTCCGAATCATCTCCCCCACTTTCTCTAAGCTTCCCAACAAGAATCGCCACCGCGTTACCTTCCAGCATTGCACTTTTCCCATCAGGACAAGCCGCAAGGTTACATAACACCAAAAGTATCCTACTCGTGGACTCACCGGACCTAACCATCGTTAGCAGAGTCGCCACCGCACCTACTCTAACCAACTTAGTCCTATTACTCGGAATCAACGTTAAGTGATACAACGCAAGAGCCGCGTCTTGACGCGCTCTTTCACTCTCTGAAGAACGTAGAGCATGGAGGAGAGGCTCCACAGCGCCGAGAACTCCAATCACCATTTTATTCTCATCTTCCAACGCTAAACTAAACAAAGCTCCGGCGACATGCTCCTGAGCCTCCGTTGTTCCTGACTTAAGCACGTCGATTAATAAAGGAACGAAACCTGAACGTACAATCTTCACTTTGTTCTGCTTCTCAAGCGAGAGGTTGACTAAAGAAGCTGCAGCGTTTGTCTGAACGAGGTTGTAACGTGAAATGAGAAGTGAACGGAGGAAGGCGAGGATACGGTCTGTACAGAGGGAAACACGAAGATCTTCGCTTGTTCTTGTCATCTTCCTAAGAAGGATAAGACCTTGCTCGTGGTCGAAAATGTCGGCGCCTTTTAGCTTGTTGACGATCTCTTCTTCTTCCGCCGACATCATCGGAGAAGAAGAAGAGTAATCGGAGATGGCATTTGGAGTTGGACTTTCAGCTCCGACGTAAACTGCTGATGAAGTAGTGGTGGAGGAAGAAGAGAACATACTAACGGCTTTTGTTGGGTGATGTGGACTCTGTCCGACCGTAACTGACTCAAGTGATGTTGTCGGCGACGGAGATAGTGAGTTCTTGGATCGTGCTCGTATAGCCTCCATCACAGCATCGTAATCAGAAGGTGAATTTTCAGCAACTGGAGGGAGAATCTCAGGTTCAGAATCTGAAATTTTGGAAGTCAACATTTAATAAAAACGTTTTTTTTTTAAAAAAAAAAATAATAATAAAAGGACAATTCTCTCAAATAACCATCTTTTAAATTTTTATCACAAAATAAAACTCCAAAATTAAAATGACCAAAATATTTTTTATTTTGAAAATTTTAAGTTTTTGTAATTTTTTTAAATTCGAAACACTATACCCAAAACCCACTCCTTAACTCTAAACAAAAAAAAATCTAGGATTAGTTAACCCAAGGATATAAGTTTTTGTAATTTTTTTTTTGTCATTATAATTGTTAAAATTTATATTTGTGATAAAAATTTTAGGTCTATTCTAGTATTTTTCTCAAAATAAAAATAGAAACCGGCATTCAAACATTTAATAAAAACTTCAATAAATTTTTTCTTATACAAAAACTTTAATAAACTTCAACATATATTTATATATAAGAAAAAATTAATGAAGATTTAATAAAAACTAGAATATTTTTTTCTTATATAAAACATATGTATATAATTTTAAAAACAATTAGGGACTAAAACAAATGTATTACTTGGATGTGGCAAGATCCGGCTCTGGGCCGGATCTTTATCCATGCGAGCACGGATCACGTTTTCGACGTAGGCAGAGTCAGGAGGACGAGGATGGTCAACCTTATTCCTGTCACACCAGCTGAAAATGGTGGACTTCATGGCGAGGTTAGGGATAACGGTGGAGAAATCGGGTCGGGTTCCGTCGAGGAGATCCGGTACATATCCTAAGTTACGACACACTTGAACGGAGAGACGTTCGAAGGTTTGACCAGATGGGACAACTACAGGATCCGACATGAGGAACCCGGTGATGGGACAAAGAAACTCTGGTGGAGTCTCGTCGTGTTTGTGTTGTGGTATAGTTGTAATGGTGGCGGAAGAGGAACGTTGGTGGAAGGAGAACCATTTCTTCTTTTTAGTTCCACCCATCGCCAGAGGAGGAGAAAGACCGAAGAAGAAGATTATTATGATAAATTGTCGATGGGAGACCACTCATGCGTGTTACATACTCAGAAGACGAGATAATAATATTTTTTAATATAAAGTTTTTTTTTTATTAATGATTGTATTGTTTTTAGTGGGATAAAGTCGGAGTAGAATGACAAGTAGGGATCGATTAGATAGAAAAAAAAACAAAGAACATGACATCCACTAAGATATGTTTTGTTTTGTTTTGATTTTTTTATTTATTTTGCCAACGATTTGATTGTGTTCAAAGACACTTTTTGAATAACAGACATACGTTTTTAATAGATTTGATTCGTTCATAAAAGTTGTTATACTATTTATCTGTTCTATTAAAATAGAATCATAATCTATTGATAAATGTGTGGTCCGATTATTTATATTACTATTTTATATTAATGATAATAAATTATTTATATTATTGAATAATTAAACACAAAGATAGCTAAAAATATAAATATAAAATTAACTTTTTCAAAAAATTTAAAACAAAAAAATATACCCATCATTTTAAGAATGGGTTTTAATATTTTTTTTAAACTATAATTTACTATTTCTTGTATCAAATACATTGCAAAGCCAAATTTTTTTTTAAAAAAGCTTGTAATAGAATTGATTAAAGAAGAAAACAACACAAAAAGTATTGTTTTCCTATATAAGCCAAATAAAACATTGACAAAGTTTTGTGTAGTGTTTATAAAAATACTGTATTTATCATAAACATAAAATAAAAAACATAAAAAACCATTGAATTAAGAATAACAAAACAAAGAGAGGAAAATGCAAAAATAAAGCACATGGTAAATCTTAAAATATTAATTTTTCTAAAAGATTAAGATTTAAAAAGACACCTAACAACTTGTCAAAATTTATGTTTATAAGAGACTTTATTAGTTAGTACTTTAACCGAAATGATTTTACACACAAAAAGAGAGATATATATATATATATAGAATACTACACATGCCTTTGTTACTCAACATTTACCTCAAACTTTTTATATTACTTATCATTACATGTTTTAGGCCAAATGAAGCTTGCTTAAAAAAACGTGTTGTAGTTCAGAACGACCTCGGTATTGGTAGAAATCTCGAACTCCATTGTTCTTCCAAACACAATGACTTAGGCATACAAAACGTGAACTACAAATTTTCATATTTCATCAAATTCCTTGAAGAGCTATATAGTGCAACAAAATGAAATTGTTCTTTTAGGCAAGGAGCTAGTCTGGAATATTATTATGAAGATGTTGAAGTATACAATGAGGGAGATAGACTTATCCCTCGATGTGGTCAGCTGTGTATATGGACGACCAGACTTGATGGGATATACTTTACAAGAAAACTTAGTCTGCCATCCGCTTTAGCACTTCGGTGGAAGAAAAAATAATGTATTTTCTATCTGTTAAAAATCTAGCCAATATTTAAATAAACTGAGATCTTTTTAAGTCACATGATACAAGCTATAGCAATATATTTAAATAAATAACATATGGGTTTATCTGATATATGTTTGCATGTTAAATCTCTGATGAGGCTAAAAGAGTGTCTCAAAGCTTTGGTCTTGTCTTATTCGTTTCCAATACTTTAACGGTCCTCACACCACATTGTGGGTACTGGTTCACTGGAGGGCTGCAACAACCCAGCAAGTCTGCACTGCGACATGACCATCATTGTCTAGTTATAGTTGAGAGTTTTTGGACCAAGATTTTGACACTGTTATTGATCAGTGGCGGTTAAAAAGCATGTACTCAAAATGCATTTGCATTTGATGTTTCTTTTTGACAAGTTTCTTTATGAAATTATGGTCTTAGTTTGTTAATATAGATTAGGTTCCTTATTTTCAAATTTACATTATTATAGCTAGAGAGTATAAACAAAATTTTATTGTATCTCAGTACAAGGCTCATAAAATATTTTAGTCGGGTCTCCAGGGATATGAGAACGCAATATGGTTGTTCTTTAGAGCATTTCCAACAGTCCTTTATCCGTTCATTTTTTAAAGGGGTTTACATTCTAACAGTCTTTTATCCCTTCAAATTTTAAAGGGGTGAATAGTGACACTTCAAATATAAAGGGTTACTGTTGATCTATTTAAACACTATTCATTTTTCACTTTTAGTCCTACAATTATATTAAATCTAACAATTGCATGATAATTTTTTATATATCATATTTTTATACTTATATATCGATATAATTTCTGTGAACTATTTCAACTAAAAATACATTATTGACACTTTTTATACTATGTATATTTATATTTGACTACATATTATTATATTTTTCAGAAATACTTTATTTTAATATCTATCAATTAGTGATTTTTGAAAGGTTGATCATTATATTTAATTATTATACTATTGAAAACTAAACTGTAATATATTAAAAAATTAGAAAAATATATAAAGTTTATTGTATGAGAACCATCTATATATCCTTTATTTTAAGTAGGTCTTTCCTTTTTATAAGTATTGCTGGAAATGTATATTTCTTGATTAAGATTTTAGTGACTATAGTTAATTATTACTAATATTGAGGACTAAAATATAATATATAAAATTTCGAAAGAAATTTTTTGAATGTCATTGTTGGAGAACTACCCTTTTATTTTTAGTGGGTCTCTCTTTTAAAATGAAGACCATTGTTGGAGATGTTCTTAGGGATGAGTTTTATACATTGTTTGCAGAAAATTGTGTATCTATGTTAATCCTCATATGAAACAAAGCATAACCCTACCAACTCTCAAAAGTCAAATTCAACGTTTTTTGCTCAAGAAGCATATTTTAAATTCTGAATTGAAAAAAATAATGTTATTAGTTGGCATTTACATATTGAGACACGATCCTATTCTTGATCAATACATAGTAGTTTACAATGTTGTTACATGCTCATATATTTTGAGAGGATAAACTAGGAACATTGGGTCTTAGCAACATTATTGGGGGGTTTTTAAGCTTGGGGTTCTAAAAATATGTATGTGTATATGTATATATTATATATGTGTATGTAATTGTGGGTTTATAACCCCCATAATAATGTTGCTCTTATTAGTACAACAAGTAAGAGGTTCGTGGAATCGATCGAGTTTGAACAGCCTCACGTGCCTACAAGAATAGGACTTTGGATCAATGGGATTATGTATTATTTGTATACATGGTAAATATTAAAAGGACAATTCTCTTAATTAGCCCTCTTTTAAGTTTTTATCACAAAAATAAACCTCAAAAATTAAAATGATCAAAATAACACTTTTTTAAAAAAAAATTTAAGTTTTTTTTTTATTTTTTAAAATTTGAAACTCTATCCTCAAAACCCCACTCCTCAACTCTAAACAAAAAAATCTAGGATTAGTTAATCCAATGGGTAAAAATGTAAATTTAATCAAACATTTAAGTGCTATTTTGGTCAATTTAATTGTTAAGGTCTATATTTGTGACAAAAAAAAATTTTTAGGTATATTCTAATCATTTTCTCATATTAAAACTTGTTTAAGATGGAATCTTAAATCTATTATTTTCTACAGTGATTTAAAAAGATACTTACCAACTTGTAAAACTTCTTTTAAGAGAAAATCTTGAAATTAAGGAAGACAAGATTTAAAAAGATAAAGTCAAACATATTTGTAAAAAATAACTTTATTAATAAGGTAAGATAATATTTAGTATTTTTAAACAAAAAGATCTTCCACGTAATTTTTTTTAACTATAAATACTACACTTTATTTGCTTTTCTACTCCATTCATGATCATTTAGAATCAAAAGAAATGAAACTCCTCACACTTTTCTTATTAGTTACTACATACTTTAGGCTACATGAAACTTGCGAATATAATCGTGTTGTGCTTCATAATGAACTCGGTCCTGGTAGACTTCTCGAGTTCCATTGTTCTTCCATGTACGACGATTTAGGCGTCAGGAACTTAACCTTCAATGCTACTCCATTTGTCATCAAATTCCATGACGATTTGTATTATATAACATATTGGAATTGTTTACTAAGGCAAGGAGTTGACATGGAATATTTTTATAATGTTGAAGTATACAAAGCAGCATGGTTATTTAGATGTGGCCAGATACGTGTGTGGACGGCCAAACTTGATGGGATATACTTTTCAAGAAGCCTTGATACACCCCCCGTCTTAGCATTACATTGGAATTCATACAAATAAAGTATTCTATTTTTGCAGGAAATTATAAGAAATATCAAAATACTATAATAACATATGAGTTTATGTGATATATATGTTTTAACTGCTAAATCTCTGATGAGGTTCAAGAAAGTGTAAAGTTTTTTAGAATATTGATTCTATTGTTTTTGAGTGAGATAAAGTCGGAATAAGATGACAAGTAAGGTTTGAACAAAAAAAAAAAAGGATGACAAGTAAGGATCGATTAGATTTAAAAGAAAAAACAAAGAACATGACATCCACTAAGATATGTTTTGTTTTTTGAAATTTTATTTATTTTGCCAACGATTTCATTGTGCTTTCTTGAATAACATACATATGTTTTTAATAGGTTTTTTTGTTTATGAAAGTTGTTATACTATTTATTTATTTTTCAAAGAAGGCTATAATTTACTATTGATTGTACTAAACACATTGCGAAGCCAAAATTAAAAAAAAACTTGTAATAGATTTGATTAAAGAAGAAAAGAGCACAAAGAAGTATTATTTTCCTATATAAGCGAAATAAAACATTGACAACTAATATTTTACGACTGTAGTTTCTATCAGTTTTTATTAAATAATCAACTTAAATAGATCTTAAGATTTTTTTTAATATCTTAGTTTAACATTTTAATTTATAAATAATAATTAATGAATATCTACTGAATATTTACTTTTATAATATTTAAATTTTAAAAAGCTAAGATATGAAATAAAGTTTAGAAAACCTCAAATATATTTAGAGCGTATGAGAAAATAGAAGATTTATTAGAAGTTAAAATGTTAACACTTACTGATGATATTATAATTTTACAGACTTAAAACTTTTAGATAGGTAACAAAATTCTTTCTGTTAGTTATTTGTTAAATTTCTGGATAATATGTCTATCACAGATATATAATCTTTGTGAAATCACATTAATATATATATATATATATATATATATATATATATATCATTAACAAACTAAACTATTAAAACAAAAATAAAATTTAAAATTAACCTTAAGGCTTAAAACTTATTTACATATACCTATGCCTTTCAAGTTATAACTAAGCCTAAATTTAAGAAATTATTACTTTATTCTAATCTTACAAATAATTCCCCAAATATAATGAACAATCAGTTTGGTTTAATTATTTTACGTCAATAAATAAAACATTGGTATAAATTATTTTCATATATTTTGACCATTAAAACATCACGATACACAAACTCATAAACAAAAAAAAAATTAAATCAATACTATTAATACAAAATAAATATTTATCTACTCACAAGTAGTCTAAGTTGGACCATTTCATTAATTTAATATTTATTATTTTGAATACAACAAACTTATTTATTATTAAATAAACACATAATCGTTACACAATATTTAAATATTTTGAAAACAAGATATCAAAAGATATTCTTAACTATTTTTCTATGATCGCATTTTAACAATATCTTTTAATATCTTTTTATTTGAAATATAAATATTTATTGATTTAATGTTATTTTAATAATAAAATCGTAAATAATACTAAATTTAGTTACAAATGAATACTAACTCATTTTAATTTATAAAATAAGAAACAACCTTCTATAATATTTTATATAAGTATTCCATATTTCTTATTAAAATCACACTAAATATTAATATCAAATGAGGTAGCTGTAAATATTTTCAAAAGAGAAGGACACATAAAATCTTTGATATATATTTCATTCATATAACTATGAAAAAGATATATTTAAAGTATAATTACACATGGTAAAATATCAAAAGAAAAGGAAAAATAATTCACTGAATTAGGAGATGGTGTGATATGAATTACCAAAAAAACATTTAAATAAAAGCATAGCCTAAAATATAATACTGTTAAAATAGGAGAGCACTTCAAAAAGGATCTTCCGTTTTAATAGTATTGATCTTGAAACTATGAAAAACAAGATTAACAGAGATACAGTCAAAACATATTTGTAAGAGAAATCTACTAATAAGGTAAGATATTATTTAGTACTTTAAATAAAAAGACCTTTCACACAATTTTTTTAATAAATACTACACACTAATGCTTTTGTACTCCACTCATAATCATTAGGCAAAAAAATGAAACACCTCGTACTTTTTATATTAGTTACTACATACTTTAGGCTGCACGAAGCTTGCGACAAGAATCGTGTTATACTTCATAACGAACTCGGTCCTGGTAAACTTCTCAGTTTCCGTTGTGTTTCCAACGTTGATGATTTAGGCGTACAAACCTTAGCCTTCAATGCTTCTCCATATATCATTTCATTCCATGACGACATACTTAAGGTCACAACATGGAGGTGTTTGTTAAGGCACGGAGCTAACATGGAATATTTTTACAGAGTTGAAGTATACTCGACAGGAGAAAGACTTCTCCCTAGATGTGGCCAGGTACGTGTATGGACGGCCAAACTTGATGGGATATACTTTTCAAAAAGCCTTGATACACCACCCGTTTTAGCACTACATTGGAATAAAGAATAATGTATTTCTATTTTTTTCAGGAAACTATAAGCTATATCAAAATATTATAATAACATGTGAGTTTATGTGATATATAAATGTCTGTCTGCTAAATCTCTGATGAGGTTCAACATGGTTGTTCTTTAGGGATGGGTTTTATACATATGAAACAAAGCATAAGCCAACCCATTCTCAAATGAGTCAAATCCAACGTTTTTTCTCAAGAAGAATTGACTTTTTGAGACACGATCCTGTTCTTTTTTTTTTCACGATCCTGTTCTTGATCAATACATAGTAGTTGCAATGTTGTTACATGCTCATATATTTTGAGAGGATAATTAAACACGGAGCATTGGGTCTTAGTACTTCAAGCAAGAGGTTTTTGTCAAATTATTCGAGTTTGAAAAGCCCCACGTGCCTACAAGAATAGGACTTTGCATCCACATGGTAAAATAAATTTTAAAACTTGTTTACTATTAGAGTGATTGTAAATATATGTATTAGACTGTGTCGTTTCATGCAACTTAGTGTAAAGAGATACTTGTATAAATACAGCAGGATTTACATTCATAGAGTTTGAAGAAGATATTTTCATATTCATTATTTTGTTCTTTACGTTTAAAATGAGATTTAAAAAGATACTTACCAACTTTTCAGACTTATTTTAAGAGAAAATCTTAAAACTAAGACAAGATTTAAAAAGATAAGGTCAAAACATATTTGTAAAAGAAATTAGCTGCGTAATTAATAAGGTAAGATATTTTTTGTAGTTTAAATAAAAAGATATTTCACACAATATTTTTTAATAAATAATACACATTAGTGCCTTTGTACTCCCCTCATAATCATTTAAGATAAAAAAATGAAACACCTCGTACTTTTTATTTTAGTTACTACATATTTTAGACTACACGAAACTTGCAAAAAAATCGTGTTGTACTTCATATCGAATTCGGTCCTGGTAGACTTTTTTTTTTTTTTGCTAAAAAAAAAGGGTTAAACCCGAGTCTATTAAAGACATAAACCTAACCTCTGGGTGGAGGTACAACCCACGGATAGACCCTCTCCTGGACATTTAAATGGATCAAAAGCAATAATCTATATCCGTGTGGCCAGTGGAGTTTAATCCCGGATTCGCCTTATTGGATTTATTCCCTCAAGCTACCACCACTGGTAGACTTCTCGAGTTCCATTGTCATTCCGTACACAATGATTTAGGCGTCAAGAACTTAAACTTTAATGCTATTCCATATGTCATCGAGTTCCATCACGATGTGCATATTTTAACAACATGGGATTGTTTGTTAAGGCAAGGAGCTAACACAGAATATTTTTATAAAGTTGAAATATACAAAACAAGACATAGATTTATCTCTAAATGTGGCCAGATATGTGTATGGACGGCCAACCTTGATGGGATATACTTTCCAAGAGATCTTGATACACTACCCATTTTAACACTATGTTGGAATAAAAAATAATGTATTTCTATTTTTTTTCAGGAAACTGTAAGCTATATCAAAACATTATAATAACATATGAGTTTATGTGATATATATGTAAGTCTGCTAAATCTCTGATGAGGTTCAAGAACGTTTCGAAGCTCTGGTGTTGTCTTATCCATTCTCAATCTTTTAGAAACCGTTATCTTATATGGTCACATCACCACATTATCTATACATGAGTCTGATAGACTTGGAGCATTGGATCTAGTACTACAAGCATGAGGTTAGTTGCGAAAAATCTCGTTTGAACAATCTCACATGCCTACAAGAATAGGTCTTTGCATCAATGGGTCAGTGGCGGATCCAACATCACATTTTAGAGGGGTCATTTACTAAATTAATTGTGTAATGTTGTTAAATAGATATAAAAGTGGGTAAAAAAAAGAATTGATCTTGAGTTATAGGGGTAAAACTAGAGAATTTTAACCAAATATGTGAATATCCTTTAGTTAGTTTAGATAGTTTAACTAAATTTAAATTAGGTTTACGAATAATTTAAAATTTTGACATTTTTTTATCACTTTTAAGGTTTCAAAAATAGTTTTTGGGATGATTTCAAATTTTGGTTTTAATCTGATCCAAACCTAATTTGGAAGGAACCGAACCAAATCTGATCCGATAGTTAATAAAACCAGAATGGTACTGAAGAGCATAATACCAAAAAATTGAAAAATCCGAATCAATCGAACCGAAACCGACAAAACCAGAACGTCTAAGCATATGATATATTTAAGAGACGAACATTTGTATTCGTCAGTTTACAATCACTACATATTATAGAGTTTCAAAATATTAAAATTGAACAGACATTAATATAAAAAAATTAAAAAACTCATGCTGCGCATGCGCGCGGGTATGGTCTAGTGTTTTCTAAAAATTCAAGATCGAAAAGGACAACTTTACTAATAAGGTAGGATATTATTTAGTTCTTTAAGCATAAAATTTAAGTTAAGAATAGCAAAACAGAAAAAAGTGTAAAAAACATATGGCAAATCTTAAAACTAGTTCAACAGAGATACTGATTAAGTATCTCATAAAAAGATACATAACTTGTCAAACTTTTTTTAAGAGAAATCTTGAAATATACGGTCAACTTTGGATATATTAAAAGAATATGTACTAATAAATTTTGGTCAAACTTTTTTTACTAATAAAGTATAATAGTATTTATTACCTTAAACGAAAAGATTTTCCACAGGAAAACAATTATGAATACTACACAATTATGCCTTTGTTACAACAGTCGTGATCGTTTAGATCAAAAGAAAAAAAATGAAACACCTCATACTTCTTATGTTAGTTACGGTTACATACTTTAGGGGACAAGAAGCTTGCGTAAAGAACCGTGTTGTAATACATAACGAACTCGGTCCTGGTAGAAATCTCGAGTACCATTGTTATTCTAACAGGGATAATTTAGGCATAAAAAACATGGCCTTCAATGCTACTCCATATGTCATCGCATTCCATGACGAGATCCCTGATTTAACAAGATGGAATTGTTTGTTAAGGCAAGGACCTAACAATAAGTTTGTTTTTGACGTTCAAATGTACAAAGCAGGATCAAGACTTATCCCTCGATGTGGTCAGATACGTATATGGACGGCCAAACTTGATGGGATCTACTTTGCACGACACCTTGATGATCCATCCGTTTTGGCACTACGTTGGATTGAAAAAAAATAATGTGTTTTCTGTTTTTTTTTTCTGTAAGCTATATAATCTACTTCAAAATCTGCTAAATCTTGGATGAGTTCAAGAGCGTCTCATAGTTCTGATCTTTGTCTTATCCATTCCTGATTTACGGTCTACCAAAAAATTTTATAAATTTTTACATATATATATAAACTCCCAAAATTTCTTTTAAAAAGATTATATAAATTTATAGTTTTTTTTTTTTGTAAACAATATAAATTTATAGTTGTCAGCACTGTTGTGAACTCTGAGCCTCGCAATCTCAGCTTCCTCCTCTGGAGTCGTTTCTCTAATTAGCTGGTTAGGCAACACTCTGGTCTTATCATCAACCCGCATTTTCCTTTCCCATGGATAGATATCCTCTTCTTGAAGCATATACCAATAATGAGACGGTCAGGATCTAGTCCATGGTTATGAGAAGCATTTGCTAGTGCAGCGTCGATAACCTTGTATTATCAATGGAGTTAGTTTGTATGTATTAAATAGAGAACTATCTGTCTGTATGGGAAGCTCGTTTAACTGTGACCTGCAGTTGCATCAGAGCATGTTCAACAAGCATACCACGTACTAGTGCTGCAACTAAGTTAACCTTCTTAGGACTCTGAAACAAGCAAAGGTGAGCATATTTACGTTTTGGGATGATTTTCTGCTCTTCTTGTTGTAGATTATGATGCAGTGGTGTTGATGTGTAGCCTGTAGGTTGGTCTCAGGAGACTTTGAAACTAACCTACTTCATGAGCAACAAAAAAAAAAAAAAAAATTCATCAAACACTCAAAAGAAACCCATAGATTCAGCAATGATTTACAATTCTCTAAACCCAAATGAGAAAAATAATGTATATTCTATCTGTACATCAATATAAATAGCCTGGCATTTTCTTTTAAGTCACATGAGTTTATCTGATATAAGTTTGCATGTTAAATCTCTGATGAGGCTCAAAGAGTGTCTCAAAGCTTTGGTCTTGTCTATCAGTACTAATCCAACGGATCCATTTATTGATATCGCCATATATAAGATTGATGTTCATGATTTTTTAGGTTCTACATATGATCAATATTTGTGTATTTTATTTTCCTATTTTGTTAGATTGTGTGTTTTTAAGAGAAGTTTTATAGCATTTTAAAAAAATTGGAAAAAAAAATAAAAATTATAATATTTACAATTATTTAATTATTTAATTGTAAATAATCCACATAAATGCCCATAGAACCCAATCAACAACCTAGAAAAATATAGAAATTTTTTTTCTAAAAATATGGTAATTTGAATGATATTACCTGCATTTACTTTCTTATCTCAAACCTGATTTAGAACGCTTCTTCCATATTAAAATAAAAACCCACTTCTCCGTATTTAATTTTTTTTAAACCTCCAATAATTTTAAAATTTAACTTTTATTTTTTAAAAAAAAAAATTGTAGGCCCATTTTCCATGGATAACATCCATCAACAAATCCACCAACTTGAACAAGGGTTTTCAGTGCATCCTATAACGGTATGTGTAAGGAGTATTTGAGACATAAATATTCACAAACCAGGCAATACCTAATCATGGTACGGCTTCATATGCTATGACCACAACGTATGCCCCATGCTACCATTTTTAGATATACATATATATTTCTACACGGTTTGGCATATTTAGATTTGATAAGATCAATTTATTACCATTCAGGGGCAATTATTGGAAGGCCGCTTTCCAACAACAATCAAACAATTGAGCCAAGATTTTTAACCGAATGAGATATATATGAATTCTCAGGATTCTCGGTCGTACCAAATTCCTGTGAACGGAAATTAACACAACTCTTGTACTACATTCAAATCGGCCAAGAGACAAGAATGTCAAATGTTACTAACACGGGTCTAATGTTTCCAGTATACATTTTCTCGCATCAAAAATACAGATCTTTACTGTGATTAGTCACTAACCCTAGCTACTTACAGGGTGGTCACTCATCAAGCTTTCAATGAAAACCTTCTAAACTTTTTTTCTTAACAATAAAACATATAATGTGCAGAAAAAGTCAACATGTAATGATGCAAGAAACAAGACCACACAACCCATAACTGAATAAAAAAGTCACAATTGGTCTCATGGTGAACGGCTCACGCTATGGAATAAACCCGCAACAGAGTTTAGCATCCTGCAAAGCAAGAAGGATAGGCAATTTAAAGTTGTCATCATCACTAGCATAATACCAAAAATTATTGGAGGTAAATAAGTTTTAATACTAAACATATGAAGTATAATTTTTGGGGGGTTTTAACCATGCAGAAATAACTGATTAAAATTTCTTTGCAGGAAAACTAGAACTCGCTTCATCAGCAGCAACAAATTTTTACTTTCACAAATTGATCGGACTCATCAAGAATTACAGAGGACGGATCAGGAGTCATCGACAAGCCTAAAAAAAACTCAAACCATCTCTCGGTTTTCTATTCTCATTCTCAAACAACTAGATACTTGGTTTACTTTTTACTTTCAGAATACTTCATCATTGGATTGTAATTTTTTAAAAGGTCACAATCCTTAACTTATTAAAATCTTACGCATTTTAGGTATTGTGAAAAATATTATTTAAATATATATATATATATATATATATATATATAATATGAGATAAATAAGACTATTAAAAATATTAAAAAGTAAAATTATACACATAATTGACCTATAATACAATAGTTTATATAATTATAAATTATAAATTTAAAGTACATAATCCGCGAGTAGCGGAGAGAAAGGATCTAGTCTCTATAATATTATTTGAGGTTCATGGTAATTATCTCTATAATATTATTTGAGAAGTCAGTTTCCTATATGTCGCGCTTACGTTAATTCTCGCGATGGTTGATTACATAAATATCTTTAATGAACCGTTACATTTAAAGATTATTATTAATTTTCTATTTAGTTTATTTTTTTAGTTTTGTCCAAATAACATATAGAATAAAAAAGGAAACATTTATAAAGTTTTTTTAAAAATTAAAAACGATATATATATATATATATATATAATATGATTTTATTTAAAAATAAAATTCATAAAATAGTAATATTCTCTTTAATACTTATTTTAAATAACTTAAAATATATTTTCAAAGTAATAAAAATACATATGTTCATGAAAATTCAAAACATTATCAGTTATACTTTATTTTATAATATTTTTCGAAATCAACATATAATTTGATAAATATTATGAAAAATACATGCATATTTAAGCGATAAATAAAACTAATTTGATTTGATTTAACTAAAATAAAAATTAATTATACTTCATTTTTAATTTAAAATATATTTAGCTCAATATACTTACAACATGAATGACTTGACTAATCTAACTTATATCCATAATTAAAGATCTAACTAGAACAAGAATATATAATCTTATAATAATAGTATATTTATTTTATTTCATATAAATTACAGGATGATCAAAACATATTAAAAATAAAAATAAAAATAAAATATTAACCAATTGAAATTTAGTTCTTTTGTAGAATTTATATATATGCATGAGACTTCAAAATATTATCGTTATATTCATTTATGTAATTGTGAAACAAACACTTTAGCTTAATATTTATATCATTTTAAGCATAATATATATTAAGTTGTACATAATCTAACTATAATATATTTACTTATCTAAGAAATGACCAACGTAAATGAAAATAAGAAGATTAGTCAAAATTTTATTATATTCAGAACAAAAAATATTATAGTTGAATTCAAAAAATAGATATTATCTAATATACTGAATTGATAACAAAATCGATTATTGATCTAAAACATAATCAAACCTACTATAATAAATCAAAAATCATATGTCTAATTAGAATAATATAATATTTATTAGTATAAGTTATACATATAAATTGATTCAAATTAAAACTAAATATCAATCAATTATTATAAAATTTTACTTATTCATATCCATGCATGAGCACGGGAGAATCACCTAATATATAATATTTGGTTTCCACATGGTAAATATTACAAAAACAATTATAGATAAAATCTTAAAATATTATTTTTCTTAAAACGATAGTTTCAAAAATACTTACCAACCTGTCAAACTTCTTAATTTTCAGAGAAAGCTAGAAATTAAGAAAGAAAAGATTTAAAAAGATACAGTCAAAACATATTTGTAAAATAAAATTACTAATAAGGTAAGATATTATTTAGTAGTTTAAATAAAATAAAAAGACTTTTCACACAATTTTGCTAATAAATACAACACATTAATGCCTTTGTATTCTACTCATAATCATTTTAGACAAAAGAAAAATGAAACACCTCATACTTTTTATATTAGTTACTACATGCTTGAGGCTCTATGAAGCTTGCGAAAAAAATCGTGTTATACTTCATAACGAACTCGGTCCTGGTAGAGTTCTAACCTTCCATTGTGCTTCCAACAATGATGATTTAGGCATACAAACCTTAGCCTTCAATGCTTCTCCCTATATCATCGCATTCCATGACGGTGTATTTTTCTTAACATCATGGAAATGTATGTTAAGACAAGGAACTAACATGGAATATTTTTATGAAGTTCAAGTATACAGAGCAGGACAGATATATAAACCTAAATGTGGCGAGATACGTGTATGGACGGCCAAACTTGATGGGATATACTTTTCAAGAGATCTTGTTACACCACCCGTTTTAGCACTGCGTTGGAAAAAATAATGTATTTTTATTTTTTCAGAAAACTATAAGTTATATCAAAATATTATAATAACATATGAGTTTATGTGATATGTATTGTGTGTCTGCTAAATCTGTGATGAGGTTTAAAAAACGTATCAAAGCACTGGTGTGGTCTTAACCATTCCCGATGTTAACCGATGGTCACATCACCACATTGTTTATGTACATAAGTCTGATAGACTCGGAGCATTGGGTGAGGCAGCCCTGGCCCAAACCGAAGGAAGCATGGGCTTCCGGACACCTCTGAATAAGTTAAATATCAGCCATTATTTTTCAAAAATATGTTTTGGTCTAGTGGTCTTCATGCCATTGTCTCAAGCCTCCATTCTCGGGTTTGAATTCATTTAGGCCATATTTATTATTTTAACTTGTAACCTTTAAATTTATAGAATCGGCTCTCATTGGGTCTTAGTACTACAAGCAGGAGGTTCGTGGAGAAGAATAGAGTTTGAACAGTCTTAGGTACCTACAACTACAAGAATACGTAGGTCTTTTGCATCAATGGGGTTATATATTATTTTGGTTCCACAAGGTAAATCGTAAAACTTGTTTAAGAGAAAATTTTGATCTTAAAATATTATTTTTCTAAAAAACAAGAATTACAAATATAAATTACCAACTTGTCAAACTTGTTTTACGAGAAAATCTTGAAACATTAGTGTTTTCTTAAAATTCAAGATTTAAAAAGACAACTTTACTAAAAGCATCTCCAATAATTTCACTCATTTTTTCTTTCAAAATGAGGTAAACTCAAAATGAGTTTACAATCTGCTCCAATAATTTTGCTTATTTTTCTTTTCACAAAAAATAATTTCAAATATATATTTTATTACTACTTACTTTTAATTTTAAAATAATTTTTATTTTTTTTTATAAAACTGACAAACTCAATTATGATTTTATTTTAATTAAATCTTTATTATGTACATAAGTTTAATTTCTAAAGAAGATATAAGAGTTTACATAAACTTACAGTTATACTAAGAAAATATTAATTATTTTTTAAAAGTATTAAAAATTTGAGTTGTAAGATTATATAAAAGTTTAAATATTAATTTATTAATAAAAAATCTTAGCACAAATGAAGAAATATATCAAAAAATGAGGAAAAACCTTCTTCACTATTACATCATTAAAATAAAATAAAAATGCATCCATTTGAAAAAACAAATATTTTTTATTTTTTTTATGTTTTCCCTCAAAATGATCCACAGTTATAGTCTAATAAGGTAAGATATTATTTAGTACTTTAAACGAAAAGATCTTCCACATTAAATACTAAACAATATTGCCATTGTTACCCGAGCTGTCTTGATCATTTAGAAGAAATGAAACACCTCATACTTTTCATGTTAGTTACATTACATATACTTTAGGTCACAAGAAACTTGCGTTAATTAAAAATCGGGTTGTACTTCATAACGAACTTGGTCCTGATAGAATTCTCGAGTTCCATAGTTATTCCAAAGACAATGATTTAGGAGTTAAGAACTTAAACTTCAATGCTACTCCATATATCATCGAGTTCCATGACAAGATACCTAGTTTAACAAAATGGATTGTTTGCTAAGGGCCTAAGGCAAGGAGATAACATGGAGTATTACTTCAACGATGAAGTATACAAAGCAAGACCAAGACTTGTCCCAAGATGTGGTCAAATATGAATATGGACGGCCAAATTTGATGAGATAAACTTTACAAGAAGCCTTGATACACTATCCATTTTAGGACTACGTTGGAATAAATAAAATAATGTGTTTTCTATTTTTTTTTTTAAGAAGAAAATTCAAAAAAGAGAGATGAAATAAAGAGAGAGATAAATAGTTTTGAAATACTTCAAAAATAGAAATACCCATTTCCTATATATCACTTTCTAATTAGTTTAATTTACATGTATATTTTAAATTCAAATATTTAACTTAATAATGTAAATTACTATTAGTATATTTATGAGATACTCATTTTGAGATACTAATGGATGATCATACTTTAAATGGTCATTGGACCTTTTCAATATCGAAAGCATAAAAGCATAAACATAAATATTAAGTTAAGAATAACCAAAACATAAAAAGTGTAAAAACAAATCGCAAATATTAAAACTAGTTTAAGAGAGATATTGAAATATTATAAAAAGATACAAACAACTTGTCAAACTTGTTTTAAGAGAAAACTTAAAATATACAGTCAACTTGATATTTATTAAAAGTATATGTACTAAGACTATCTTCAGTGGTGTTTCATTTTTATTTTTTGCTTCATTTTTTTATTCCAGTGGCATTTCATTTTTTTTTCCATTTCTTCTAGATCTTCATTTTTAAGATGATTTTTTTTAATTTATAAACTAATCATTAATTTTGACTTATTATTATTTTAATTTGTACTTAAATAAATTATATGGTCGGTGTCACCCAATTAATTTTAACATTTATATTATTATTTTCATCTAACTAGATGTAATAATGAAAAGTATGAAAATATTAATTTCCGAGACTTCTATGTTGATTTGGAAGATGTTAAAACAAAATAAGCTCATTTTTCATTTTGAAATGTTTTGGTTAGTCACTTAAGAGATGTATGTATTTAATATTTCTTAATAAAATTTAATATTTTTTGTTAATTGTTTATGTTATATGTAATAGTTGTATCATATAGTACTGTTTAAAATAGACAAACTAATAATTACTATTAAAACAAAGTAACTAGGTTGCTTTGACCCAGTAGGAGTGAGGGCTGGGACCCCAGTAGGAGTAAGAACTGGGTTTGTAAAGCCTAGTAGGAGTGAGAACTGAGTTGAAGTGTTTAAATGCAGTGTTTTTGAGGTTGCTTGGCAGAGAAGTAAATGAAGAGTTGAAGAGTTTAATTGTTTTTGCTCATGTTATTCAGAAACATTTTGTAAAGGTCTTTTTTTGTTATAAATTTAACATTTTGATTCAAAAAAAAACTAGGTTAAATCAGTAAATTTAAAAAAGTATAAGATGTTACAAATAATTTATTATAAAGTAGTGACAGAATATACTTAAAAACAATTAAAGAAAAAATAAAGTATATCACTGAAGTACATGTTGTTTCATTTTTTGAAAAACTTCACATCTGAAAAATCAATGAAGCTAACAATTAGAGATACTCTAATAAATTTTGGTCATAAAAAAACTTCACTAATAAAGTATGATAGTATTTATTACTTTAAACGAAAAGATGTTCCACAAGAAAACAATTATAAATACTAGTACACAGTTATGCCTTCGTTACACCAGTCGTGATTGTTTAGATCAAAAGAAAAAAACAATTACGTATATCAAAATATTTTCTTCTTTGAAGTTGTGAACTCTGAGCCTCACAATCTCAGTTTCGTCCTCTGGAGTAGTCTCTCTAACTATGACAGTTAAGCCACACTCTGGTCTTATCATCAACCCCCATTTTCCTTTCCCATGGATAGATATCCTCTTCTTGAAGAGTCCTTTCCCAACAAACGCTTCCGGTGCATCACAAATCAAAAGCTTAGAACAAATAAATAGATGGAGCTCGAGGGGGGCGAAAGAACGATGGTGAAGCCCATTTGTTTCTTGATGTGGGATTTGTTTCTTCATGGGCTCAACTGGTCTAGCTGTTATTTGGTTTGGTTAGTTTTGGTTTGGCTTGATGTAGTTTTATGTGGTGTGTAAATGAATTAGACAAGTTGGTATAGTGATAAAGTCGAAGAGTACAATGATTATTTACCCGTCATTCACTTTTTGCTCTGTACAATCTGGGCCATGTTGCCTGACTAATAACACGTTTGGTTTCTATAACTCGATGCAGTTTTTAACCAAACACATTAAATTTGCTTGTGAGATAATCATAACTCCTAAAAGCAACAAATGAACTATATTCATATTTTTTAACTACTCCAACCAGAAAGAACTAGTACGCCAGTATATAATCTTGCATTCATGTTGATTTATATTTGTTCGTTCTAACTTATCATATGAACTGATTATATATTTATATGTCCTATGTGTATTGAGCGATTTTCTAAGCGTCGACCATCTGTTTATGAGCTAATTTAATTAAGACATTGACAAAAGAAGCAAGAGAAATAAAAGACATTTGAATTATCGATCAGAGTTATGGATCTCTTAGGCACATAATATAAATTTAAAAATAAACAAGTACGAAGTTTTGCATATGATTATACTATAGCTGTAATGTGGTCCCAGTATTATGTGTTGATAATTAGTGGATCCTATCTTACCGAATGTAGCTACCGTATTAAGTCATTGATAATAAGCCAAGAAACGTACTTCTCCTAACTATCATGACAAACTTTTTGTTTTATTGCTATAGGTGTACATACAATAAAAGTATTTCATACCTCAAAGAATGAAAGTGTGTGTAGTTTCTCTTTTGTAAATTTTGAATTCAGCTCAATAAATTTGCATATTTTCTAGTTGTTTGAAGATCAACCCAAAGTGTGATATTTCTTGGGTTTTCTTTTCTGCATGACATTATTATCAATATATCATTTGAGACAATGAATCTTCTATCTATTTGTTTCAGTATCCTGGATATGGATTGTTAGAACTAGTTTTCGACTTGGCAGGTTTTGATGGAACTATTTTTAGGTCATAGCAATTTTTGTATCCAATTAGAAAGAGTGTGATCGAATATTGATACTATGTTAAGTTTTATAAATTTCAAACTCTAAAACAAATTTTCAGTGAACAGGCTGATTCTTTTCTCACACGATATATTACTCATCTCTAAAGTAGTTTAATATTTTATTTTTCAAAGTAAGATATTATCTCGAACATACATTTACATGCAAAAGTAATTACTATAACTCTTTTAGTTGTGATATGGTGTACAAATTCAAATGATAATTGATTACAAATTTACAATACAATCATCTAGCTCATAACTGCATATATAGTCAACTATGAACCCCCTATAATATCATGCCACGTTGAAAATTCTATCACGTATGATATACTTATCAA